GTGCCATTTCAAACTTGGCACGCCCTGCTATCGGAGCACCGCGCGGCCGCCGGCAAAGTGATTGTCGAGGCCGCCTCTTCGCATTATATCATGGACATGTGATGTGCCCAGCGCCGCGTCCAACGCTGTTGCTCCATGCTGTGCGCCCAGTCCGTCCTGCGGCGTTATTGTTAAAGGGCGCTGCGTGCAGCGAATGCAGGTAATCTTAGGGCAGTGACCAATTTCGTCGCAGGCTGCCGCTACAAGCAAGGGTCTATGTTAAAGAGGGCGCCGAATGGATTCAAGTAGTCCCGCAATTTGCAGCAGCCGCGCAGCTGCGTGGTCACCTGGGCCATGGCATCCAGCATCTCATCATGGCCATCAGCTGCTTTCTCGTGGGCACCTCACCGACACTGCAGGTGTCGACGGCGTTTGACAGGGGCAATTCGTTCACGGCTCAAGCCAGATTATTCAAAGAACGCGCGCCTCAGTCGACGCGAACTTCGAATGGGCGATTCTCAAGGGGCTGCTGCAATATGGAGGGACCAAATTGGCAACTTCGCTCACTGGCCTTGCGATGCGACGCGGTTGGATGACGACGGCAACGTAATTCATTATGCCGAGGCAGTAGCAGAGGGGGCCTTCAATTCCTCCGCTATGTCGGAGGCCACCGCCCTACTACCATATCGATTTCTACGGAGATTCAGCGATTCAGCGGACCGACTCCAGCCGCCCGCAGCAAGGGGCGCGCGCGCGTTGGCGACCGCGCGCGCCATCCAGCGCAGGCTTCAAAAAAACCAATGGCGGATTCGCGGCAGGGGCAGACGGCGTCGCCGACGTCGTCCACGAAACGCGCCCCTGACAGTAGCCGGGCACTCGCTACCACTCACCACGAAAGTGAGCATCCACGCCCAAAAGGTTATCTAGTTCAAAGCAGGGGCCGCGGTGGCGCTCTTCAAGTATGGCAAGGCCCCGGCCACCTATTTGCACGGGTGCCGCAGCATCGTGCTCAACAGCGCCGCTGCCAGGCACAACCGCGATTTTTCGAGGAGTCTCCTGGTCAGGATGCATGTAGCAATGAGACAGATACACAGAAAGGCGGAGTACCGCGGCGATCAACGGCCATCACCGCGCAGGCGCTGAAGGTCTTCATGGAGCATGCCGGTGCACAAGCACCTATGCGCGCGGACTGGCTAACAGGCGAAGTTTCCACGGCGCAGCTCCCCGATCGAGCTGGGGCGACCCGGGCACTTCGGCGCTGGGGGCGGCGCCGAGCATGCCTGCGCCGGCGCTGGCAGCGCAGGAGGCGCCCCTCGCAGCTGCCGCCGAGTCAGGCGCCGACGCCGACGAGGCCAGCTCATTCGGCGAGGGAGAGAGAGAGAGAGAGAGAGAGAGAGAGAGAGAGAGAGAAAGAGAGAGAGAGAGAGAGCATCCAACGACCCCGAGCCACACGATGTTCGCGTGGAACAGCGCGGCGCACGCCTGTTCCGGCAAGGAGGGGCAAGGGCCGTGGCAAGGGCCGACGAGCCTTGCAGGCCAACTTGTCCAAAAATGATGTCCGATTCGCGGGCTTCGGGAAGCGCAGAGGCATTGGGCAAGGGGGGGTCAGGACCGGTGGCGCGGGTTCGGGCCGTCAGGGAAACCCTATGGGCCCTGACGGGGCGCGATTCAATTGCCGCGAGTGTGATTCTGAGGAGCGCCTCGTGCGCGACTGCCCCTGGTGCCGCGATCAAGGGCGCGCTCTCTTCCTCGACGTCTACGCCCCGCAGTCGCCGGCGCTCGCGCCATCGTCGAACCTGGGGCAGCAAGGGCCGCGTAGCCCAGCTGAGCAGCAGCCCCTGCCAAATGCGAGCGCGGTTTAGATACTCGGGGGCACCGCCAGCCATGGGCAGACCAGGTCAGCGGGCTCTGGCGCGAGCGATTCCATGCGGAGCGCTGATCCCTGGAGCGGCAGACGGCCCGCGCCGGCGTCGGCGGCGCCGCGGCCGGCAGCAGTTGCTACTGCGCCAAGTTCGTCCGACGGTTCGCAGGATCAGGTTGGCCATCGTCAGTGGCCGCGGCGAGCGGGCGTTGCATCTTCGCCGTCGCCTCCCAAAGACGCCGAGCTACGACGACTGCGACAGTAGATTGGCGATCTCGCGGGCCACGCGTTTCTGCAACTACTACGTTGCAGACCCGCGCGGCGGCAGCAGGGGGTTCCAGCGCCGGCCGCGCCGACAGCACTGACAGCTCCAGCAGCGCCGCCTTCGGCGCCGCAGCGGGCGCGAGTTGGCGGTGCATTCCCTCTGGGACAGGACCGCGGTCGAGACTGGCTGGGTGGCCTCCGCGCGCGGGCCGCAGCTCCCGCGTCGCTGGCTGCCGACGCGCAGCTGTCGAGCTGGGCCAACGTGCCGTCAGTGGCCTCGCTCGGCACCGGCGCGCCATGCGCATCGAGCTCTATGTGGCCGCCACAATCAGCGCGGGCACCCGCGCCACCGCCAGTGCCCTCCCTTCTGGATTGGCCCTGTTCAACGCAGACAGGCCAGTTGGCGCGCGCCAGCCTTTTCGGGGCGAGTGGCTATGTGGTTTGCGGGCCGCGGGAGCTTGATGCCTGGCGGCAACCGTTTCGAGCGCAGCGCGCATTCCATTCTTGACTGCGCCCTGCGACGCCGCCCCGACGAGGTCCACGTCGCGCAGCTAGTACTGCAGCCACAACGAGTGCAGGCTGACCAGCGGCGCCGAGCCGCGCGGAGTCGGGCAGAGACGCCAGTGACCTTCCTCCTCTGCCAGCCGCAGCGCCAGCGACGCCCCCGCAGCTGCTGCTCTCGACCGCGACGACTGGGAGTGCCCCATTTGTCTCGATGCCTTCGTCCACGTCGAGCGGTTTGTGCGACTGCGCGGCCGACGCACTCTGCGCCGCGCACGTCGCCTGCCATCTTGCAGAACGCCGACGCCAGCAAATTCTTTTCCCCAGCGTATCGTAGACCAGCTGACGTCATCGCCGACTTGCGCTTCGCTGGCGCAGATCGCGCCGACCCGCGACGCGCTGGCGCGATGCGCGCCGCAGGCTGCACCGCGGCAGGACGCACCTTCTCTTCGGCCAGCTCCAGCACCGGGGCGAGATCTTTTCAGATCTCCAGGCAGTGATTCATTTTCCGCGTCCGCAGTGCCTTGCGACGCTCGCAGGCCGACGTCGCATGGGCCAGCGACCTCGTGGTGGCCGACTTCGCCAGGTCAGGGTTCGAGCCCCCATGGCGACTTGCCGCGCAACCTGGCAAGCGCGTCGCTTTCAGGGGGCCAGGTAGGCGTCGTCGTCCACGCCGTCACCTGCGCCTCCTCTGGGGCGCGCGATTCGCCCGGGACTCGGCCCGGCGAGCCATGCGGGCGAAGCGCCAAACCTTCGGGGGAGAGGTTGTCCGCTCCTTCATGCATGCGCGGCAGGAGTGGGCAGCGGGTCGCAGGTGGCGACTGGGGAAATCCACCGCCCCATCGCCGCAACATTGCGCGATAGTGTGACCACGCAGCGCAGTGTGCGCTCTGGCCGTGGGTGGCGCGGGCGTCGCTGACCTTGCCCTGTCGAGGTTGCCGTTCACGCAGTCCAGCAACGGGTGGTGGAGATAGGTGTTAACCGCGAGCGCCTCGCCTTTCCTGGGCCTGGCGGCTGCGAGATCACCTGGGGCCCAGCCAATTGTCGGAGGTTGATGGGCCTCCTACCCTGACACGTCCATTAAGGAATGTTCCGATTTCGGTTGGCGAGAGGGCGTCGCGGCCGTCATTTTTGCAGGTCCAGGTCCGTCGGTCTCGGTCCCAGGCCGTTTTCACTCAGGGGAGGTTTGCTAAAAGGAGGTTTGTCCACCGCCGAAATTGTCTATCTTCGAATATCTAATATCAAGATGCAAGATGCTTTTCGCTGTCGGCCAAAACTTCGGAACTTATAATGAGTTTAGAACTCTGCTGCATTGCGCGCGCGGGTGCAACCTGGAGTTGCGTCTGTCGCCGCTTAGATATTCGAGTTCGGCCATTATGTTCGTGGAGCAGCAGGCTTGTTAGCCTCGCCTCATGTTGCGCGTGCTGTCGTGGGACGCGTTAGCCTGCTCTGGTTCGATCTAGCAGTTCTGCGGGGAATATCTGCCGCCCCGCCTCGCGCGCCGTAGAAGTTTTCCCAAAACCACCTTGGAGGCCAAGGTGCCTGGGGCAGCGCGAAGTCCAGCTACTCCCGGCGCGCGTCGGACTCAGGCTCACTTATCCCGCTGCATCTGTTCATGATGCCTCGTTGTTTGCGGCGCGGCTTGCGCGCTGTAGCTGGCGGGGCGCATGCAGACTCGTTCGAGCACCAGGCTGGAACGGTAGCCTACTGATAATTCCTGCCTTGTTTGTGTTTTTGTATTGGCAGGCCAAGAAAGGAGGATCATTAATCCCCAAAGCGCCCCTGCCGCTGACCTGATGATCCGCTCCCTTCGCGGCCCTTCTCGGCCCCGAGGCACGGGGGATATCCTCTCGCGCCCGCCCGTGTTAGAATCGCGTTCACCTGCGTGTTCGGCGCTTCGCTTACAAAGACATCCATCTTCATAGCCCAGGGCCCCTTTGCAGCGCCACCGCGGCGCGTTGACGCAGGCCGCCTGTCCGCATTTCCTCAAACTCCTCCCGCTTTGCCGCGGCAGCCGCGTGATAGCGATTCCGAGACCGGCCGACTCTGCGCAGCGCGCGCGCAGGCTTGCGGGCGCGGCTTGCGTTGCCCAGAGAGGCTTAGGATGAGGATACATCGCCCCGCAGCCTTCCAGAACTCCCACGGCGTTATCTGGAACGCCCTGAGCGAGCGGCGGCGCCCGATACGTCCTCTAGCAGACACGTTAGCCTTCAGAGGTTCCCGATCTGTCACGCGAATTTGTCCTCATTCCGTCTATGTGTAACTGCTTCTCCCAGCGTTCTTCTCCAAGTCGTCCCTCTTCCGCGGAAGGCTTTAGAAGGCAGGAGGGGGGGAGTGGGGGACGGCACTGAGGGAGATGGGGTCTTGGAAAGACGGAGGCAGGATGCCCGGGGAGGAGCAGCAGCGCAAGCGGCCGCTGCTGATCATAGACGACGCCGCAGGAGGGCCGCCCACGAGCCCGCCGCGAGATCCCGGGGCGAGGGTGGACACGGGCGGCCGGTGCGTAGACTCCCTGGACACCAGCGTTGGATTGCGATGGCAACGACGACGATGCCCATCGGTCGTTGAAAGTCGGTATCTTTGGATTCCCAGGCTCCAATCTACTTGAACCGTCTTCTTACTTCAATGATCGGGTGGCTTCACCTTTTCCGTCCTCCTTGGGGAGCGGGCGGAACCCAATCTATGTTCAACGCCTTCCTACTTCATGTTTCTACCTACTTCTTCCGACCTATGGGTATTATTCAATGATGAAGGTGATGGTGCTTATTCTGCTGAGGATGGCTACCACCCCAACGATGGTGCTGGTCATGCTGACGACGATGGTGGTGGTAATGCTGAGAATGGATGCCACGACAAGGATGGACTACTGCGCTTTTGGCGACGACTAGGGTGCTGATGATGGTGGTCATGACGATGATGTTGATGTTTGTGATGATTATGATTCTGACGCTGCTGGCGATGGCAATGACGACGACGATAAGCTGCGCCAGGGGGGGTGGGGGCAGTGCGCTCTCGCGGTCCCCGCGCAGTCGAGCTGAGCTGGAGCTGGGTGGGAGGCAGAGGCGGCGGACGAGGAGGAGGAGGAGGAGGAAGAGGATGGTGATGACGATTGATGATTGTGGTGATGGTGATGATGGTGATGCTGATGCTGATGCTGATCATGATACTGATGATCATGATGGTGGTGGTGGTGATGATACTGTTGATGATTGTGATGGTGATGGTGATGGTGATGGTGATGGTGGTTGTGTTTGTAGTGTTGATGGTGATGCTGATGATGATATGATGATGCTGACGAACATGATGATGAGCATCATGATGATACTGATGATGCTGATGATGAAGTTGTTGATGATGATGGTGATCATGATGGTGATGATGATGAATGATGGTGAAGATTACCATGCTGATAAGGTTGATGATCACTGTTATCGTTCCAGCCATATTGGTTCAAGGCACAAGAGGTAGTCTCTGGTTCGTCCCGGCTTTTCGTCCCGGCTGTTCGTCCTGGCTTTTCGTTTTTTTCTTATCTTTCCTGGGGATCGAAGTTCTTTCATTATCACATCCAGGGATGGCGCTTCCCTCTTCTGCTTTCGCTGCTGCTGGTCCAGCCTGGACGGTGGGTGTAGAACATGCGACGGGCGTGGGAAACAAGCTCCCGCGGTTTGAAACTTTTCGATGCTGAAGCTTCTGCCCAGCACCATGTCCATGAGCAGGGGTTGGGCGATTCACATCAACGGCTTTTGCGAGCAATAGGTGGCATGATGGTTGACTCTCAGGCGCCATTGCGCGAGGATCTGAACGCAGTCAAAGAGGGCATCCTGTCTGTTCAGGATCAGGTCAACGCCCAGGGAGAGGTCATCAGGTTCATGATGGAAGGAATGGACAGAAAGGACCAGGAGCAGGATGGAGCAGCGTTTGGAGGTGGAGGGTCGATTAATGGCGTCGGTGGGTTTCGTGGGGGCCAGCACGGTTTTGTACTCACGAAAATTGAGATCAAGAATATTTGCACATGGGGTGAACAGCTGACGAAAAGCAGGGTCACCAAGCAGGAAGTCACGCACTGTTTGCAGAAGCTCCATGAGCCTTTGGGTGAAGGCCTGGCTCTTGAGGATGAGTCTCTGACGAAGGCTTCGAATTCGAGGGTCTTGACGAGCTATGTTGTTTTGAGCGTTATTGCCTGGGGAGCATCCGCGAGAACAGCCGCGCGCGAGATCTCGCAGACAAGCTCTGGGACCTTCTTTGCCAGGGACAACAGTTTCCACAGTGGCTCAGTTCCGAGGGTGGTTGTGGAAACCCCACCATGAAAGAAACTTGTCATCAATCGCGTGGGTAGAGCCTTGAGGGCCCTAGAACATCAAGGCATAGCGGGAATGGGGGCTCAACGGGGTCCCCGGTTCGGAGCGTAGAAAGTCGATCCCACTACACATCGGCCTGTGATCTTGGTCAAGCGGGAGCTCTCCGGTTACAAGATTTCCGAGTATCACGTCAGGAAGTTCAAGCCTGGATTTCTGACCGCCCGTCCGCCATTGTGAGACGGCTCACGGTGCGCAGACGACCGCGAGTGGAGTCTATTGATGTCGCCGTGCCTCCTAGAGCCCCTGGGACTCCAAGAGGCCGCTGGGTTCCCCGCAGCGCTTCAAACGCTACGAACCTGAACCCTTCAACTGGGTAAGGTTGAAAAGAAAAAGGAAGTTCAAGCCTGGATTGACTGAGGCGCACCTCGTGGACCTGCTGGTCCATTGAGTCCGCGAGAGCAGGGGCGGTGGAGGAGCTGGGGCTAGGCAACCCCTGACAGTGCATATCTGGGGCGTCGGCGCTTTCAGCGTGCATCGTTCAGATTGACATTCATTGAAATCTACCTCGTACGACATTCCTACATTTTCAGTGGCGTCTTGATTTTTCAGGAATCTTCGCTTTGGACGTTCGATGCTGGTTTTTGCTGGCTGGAGTCTCATTCGCCGGAGTTCCTGTCTATCTTCCGCAGCCGCACCGTGCGAGCTAAGGGGGAGCGCGCGGGCTTCGCACGCAGACCCATATTTTCACCGTCAAGGGGTGCTTTTGGATATTTGTCAATCATTTTCGCTTGGTTGCTGTCTTTCTCGAAACCTGTGAATGCCTTCACGACGTCTTTGGCGTTCTGCCATGCTGGAATTGGCGCGCCAGGGAGGAGCCAGGTGTTTCATTTTCGGGGGAGACTCGCAAGTGGAGTTGGGTGCAGACATCGGGAATATTGCTGGATCTTGTGTTTCGGGTGAGCGGCAGGGGAAGCATTGCGTCGATAGGATGGAGGCGGTCTCTGCGTTGATGGAGCGTTTCGGGGCCCGTGCCAGAAACGCTTTCTGCGAGGACCGGGCCACGTGCCATGCGCGCGCATCCTCGGGGGAAAGCGAGAAACATAGGTAACCAGATCGACGGTTTGCTCGCGTCTCGGTCTATCGAATGCACGGCATGTTTTTTTCCCGAGCGGTTGTGGAAGTCTGACCATGTTCTGGTCTTGGGCGTCTTACGTGGCGCGCCGCATCTATCTCTGCAGATTGGGGGTGGGGGGCGGAGGAATACGACGTTGTGGGTCCTATTGACCGCGCGGGGAATCAATGTTTGTCTTGCTGTGCTCACGGCGACTTCTTGAACTTTCGGATTGGGTTCGCGATTCTTCCACGCGCGCGTGGCTGTCTACGAAATGCTATGCCATCTGCGACGTTTCGGAAGCAGTGGAGAAACATGTTCGAGCGTAACATTTGCCGCCGAGTTGCCTGGGAGACGTGAGGCAACGTCGAATCCGGCGGCGTTGCAAGTTGCCCAGTAACGCGTCCGCAACGTCGGGCAGCCCAGAGAAGACCGACGGCGCGGCGACGAGTGGAGCGACGCGAATTGCGGCAGTTTCGAGCTGCTTCGGCACTGCGCCAAGACTCGCGCAGGACGCGGGCGATGACGAGCGTGGCGCAGCGCGCTTTGGACGATGTCGGCCGCGGGCGGCTTTTCGATTGCGCGCTCACTTCGGAGACGGTGTCTCATTGGGTCGCTATTGCGAAGGGCTTTGCGCTCGCGTCTCGACGGACAGGGCCCACCACCGTGGAATTTCGCGCGACCTCTAGCGTGTCGGGGCAAACTTAAACCAGGGGGGAGTGCAGGTGGAGGTGGCTCAATTGCGCCTGAGATGCCACTGATGCTTCTCCCTGCTGCACTCGTTCTTCTGCGTGGTGCGACGGGGCGTTCCGCGCGCGATATCTCGAAGCATGTAAGGCGGAGTCGGACAGCTTGAGACACATCGTGGCCGCCCTCATCGACGCCCGTCATCGCCGAACATAGAGATATTCGCGCGCTCAGTCGAGTTCCGCTGAAAAAAAAACGGCCCGCCCTCCGTCCGTGAAGCTTCTGCAAATTTCAAGTTTCAGGAGGGAAGAAAACACACAGACACAGTTAACCGTCGATCCCCAGAAAATATGGGAACATATGGGAAGTGGTGGGGAAGACAAACTCAGAGAAAATATGGGAAACTATGGGGAATTATGTTGTTTGTGTGTATTTATTTGTGTGTCCCAGAGCCCCTTCAAAGTTTCAGGGTCGTATATATCTCTCTCTCTATATATATATATATTGCGACGGAGTCTCAGGCGACGCGCCCCGCCCGCTCTTTCGACGAGCCTCGGGGTGCGGTAGGGCGGAAGTGTTCAGAGAGAGCAGGCGTGGAGAAGAAGCAGGAGGAGGACGGGGAGGAGGAGGAGGAGGAGGAGGAGGAGGAGGAGGAGGAGGAGGAGGAGGAGGAGCAGCAGGAGGGGGAGGAGGAGGAGGAGGGGGCGGAGGAGGAGGAGGGGGCGGAGGAGGAGGAGGTGGAGGTGGATGCGAAATCAACACATCGTGGGGAGACGCAGGAGCGGACAGGAGGGAGGGGCGGGGTGGGGGGGAGGGAAGGGAGGGAGGGGAGGGAGGGAGGGAGGGAGCGGATGGGGAGGGAGGGGGGAAGAAAGGGCGGATAGACAGGAGGAGCGAGATAGGATAGCTTCGGAGAGATCTGTGCAGGGAGGAGTGAGGAAGGAGGGGCGGCACGCGCCGCAGCCCGCTCGAGCGGGTGCGGTCCGCGGAGGCGCGCTGCGGCCGAGCGGTGGCGTGCGGGACGTGCTCGTCGGCCTGCTGGAGGCGCGGTGTGGTGGCCGAGGGGCGGGCGCAGTGGGACATCGGATCCATGCCTCCCCTCGAGGAGGAGGAGGAGGAGGAGGGGGAGGAGGAGGAGGAGGAGGAGGAGGAGGAAGAAGAAGAAAAAGAAGACACCAACACCAGTATCGGTGATATGCCTCCACTACAGTCGGGGCCCTGAAGAAGGAGCCCTTTTGGTTGGGGAGGGGCTCCGCGTTCCTTATGTGTTCGATCGGTTTTCCTTCTGTTTTCCTTATGTTTTCGATAGGAAATCGAAAACATAAGGTTTTCCGTATGTTTTCCTTATGTATTCGACAGCTTGCCTCAGGTTTTCCTTATGTTTTCGATAGGACATCGAAGTTTAACTTATGGAAAACATGGGGCCTCGTTCCTTATTTAGGGTTCCTTAGGTCAACGCCCCGACTGTAAGGGAAGAAGATCCCGATCTCGGTGATGGTGGTAGTATTCCAGCTTCCAAGGTGGCCGAAATTTTCACCCACCAGCGCTGGAATCTAGGATCATCTTCCCCCTGTGGAGGCACCCCCCTGTGTTGGTGTTGGTGCCCATTTCCAGGCCTCCAAAGATGGGGTCAGAGCAGATGGGGTCGGTCGATCGCGCCGCGTTGCCGATGCGGCGCGATCCTGGGCCATCTTTCTCCGTTCCTGACATCGCGGATGCATCGCCGGTGCATCGGGGACGCGGTCCGATCTCCTGATGCCACCTACTCTGGCCTTGTTAGGGCGTCCTCCAGGTCAGTGGCCTGGTTGATTTCTTCGGGGCGCTTGCTTCGTCCGGTGAATGCTCATTTGGTTGCTCATCGCCTCCCTCCGGCTTTCTGTAGTATGCTTCTTTTGATGCCTCGCTCTCTCCTCGCCATCCGTGGCAGCTATCCGACTCCGGGGAACCCGCCCGCTGGGGCCCACGGGCCAGAGATCCTGGCGCCATCGAGCGGGCGCCACACCACGTGCGGATGTCTTCTCCAGGGATCACGGCAGCGAGTCGCTGGAGTGGCTGCTTCTGCGCGGAGTCCACGGGGTTTTCGAGAAGCTTGAGTGAGCCTCGGCCAGAAGAGATGGCTGGGAGGTGTTGCCAGCTACAGTCGTGACTCAGAACTGCGCTTCGTAATCTCGTCGCGTTTCCGCTTCTTCGCCGGCCACTGCCCAGTTCGGAGTCGCTCTCCCCTCAGGTTGGCCACGGCCGTGCCTGCAGAACGTGCTTCCGCTCTCGCGCGGGTGACGCTCGGGACTCGGGCTTCTGTCCTCGCCGACGCGCTGGCGACGCTCGAACTTGGGATCCGACGAAGTCATCTATACACCACCACCGTGCCAGACCAGGGCCATCCTGGGCCGTAGGATGGAGTATAGACCCTCCTGGCTCGGCCAGGAGGGCGTATACACCATCCCCAGGCCCAGGATGGCCCTGCCTTGGCACGGTGGTGGTGTATAGATGCCTTCTGCGAATGGGAATCGTCCTCCGCCTGCAGCCGCCCACTGTCCACATCCCCCGCCGGCCCGACGGGTGGCCGCCACGGACATCCTCAGGTCGCCGCGCGGAGCGCGCGCTGGCACGCGTGGGGCCCACCGGTGCCGACGTTGCACGGCGCAGCTCTCCTCCCCGACGCCCCGCCGTGCCCCTCCTCCTGCTGCTGTTGCTGCTGCTGCTCACGACTGATATAGAGACGATGACCTCCTCCTCCTCCTCCTCCTCCTCCTCCTCCTCCTCCTCCTCCTCCTCCCCTCCTCCTCCCTCTCCTCCTCCCCACCCTTTTTCTCGGTAGCAACTCGCGGGAGCTTCGCATGTCCTCGCAATTCCGTTGTAGGGTGCATTAGCGTGCGCTAGCGTCTGGTAATCGGTGATCATGCGCCGACTTCGCGTCGATTAGCGCCGATCATGCGTCGATCAGCGTCGATCAGCGTCGGCTAGCGTCGATTCGCCGAGGCCAGCAACATGGCATGGGAAGCTCCCACGAGTTGCCACAGAACCCTCGCCCAGCACTGCGCCGTTCGCAAACACGCGCCCACCGCCCCCCGGCAACGCGAAGGCGGGAGGGAGCGAGGAGGAGGAGGAGGAGGAGGAGGCGGAGGAGGCGGAGGAGGCGGAGGAGGCGGAGGAGGAGGAGGAGGGGGGGGAGGAGGAGGAGGCGGAGGAGGAGGAGGAGGGGAGGAGGAGGAGGAGGAGGAGGGAGGAGGAGGAGGAGGAGGAGGAGGAGGAGGAGGAGGAGGAGGAGGAGGAGGAGGAGGAGGAGGAGGAGGAGGAGGAGGAGGAGGAGGAGGAGGAGGAGGAGGAGGAGGAGGAGGAGGAGGAGGAGGCGGAGGCGGAGGAGGAGGCGGACCGCCGCGATCTTGCTCCTCCGTCCTGGGTCCGGGGGCCGCGGCCCGCTGGTCGTGGGGGGCGTGCACCTCTCCGGGGCTCCGGGCTGGAGCGCAGCACGGCTCCCTGAAGCCAGCCCGCTTGTTTGCGCACCTTTCCCCCTCGGCGGCCACTCTCTTTGGGAACCCCCAAACCGGGTGGTGAGATACCAGGTGGCGACCTGGAATCCCCAAAAAGGTCACCGCTGGGTTTGGGGACACGGGGTCACCACCGGGTTTTGTGACTCCTGGACCCACCAGTGCTCGGGACATCCTCGGAAAACCGCACGAGTCCCCAAACCGGGTGGTGACACCAAATCGCCCGAGACTCACCGCAAGGTGTTGTCACGACCACGTTTGGGATCTACCAATCTCTGCTTTCCCACCTCCTCCGCGCGCTCCGCGTTCGGTGCGCCCCGCCGCACCCGTCCCCCGCGACCGCTGGCGCTGCCGTTTGAGAGCTTGCGCACCCTCTGCAACGGATGGAGGCAGTGTTTTCTTTCATGGCGACAAAGGCGTGACCGGGGGGGGCAGCGGGCCAGTCACGTCGCGATTCGCACGGGCGCCGTCTGGGAATGGTCAGGAACGGTTTATTCTCAGATGGGAGGGGGGTGGTGGGAGGGGGGTGGTGGGAAGGGGGTGGTCACGAATCGTGACGTGAACAGGGGTGGTGCGAGGGGGGCGGTGGGAAGAGGTTGGTTACGGGCGTTCTCGCGAGTGATTCAGGCATTGGCTCGAACCCATGCTGTTCGTTTGCGCACGCTCTGCGACGGGCGGTGAGCGCGGCGTCGATTTCAAGCTCGCTGGGCTTGCTTCTTTTCCTGCGGTGTCGGCCACGACAGCTCAGCACATCTTGTACGGTGCCCGACGATTCAAAGGCTAATTGCCTCAAACCTTACTGGGCCATCTCCGACGCTGTGGTGGGCCCCGGATAATTTCTCACGTTTGCCTCCGAGCAGCGTCTCGGAAGCGTTTTCCTGTTGCACCGATCTCTCCCTCTCTCTCTATTTCTCTCTCTCTCTCTCTCTCTTTATATATTTCTGTCTCTCTCTCTCTCTCTCTCGCATGCTTACATATATGTGTATATGTAAGCATGCATGTGTACACACACATATATATATGATATGTATGTCTATGCACACTCCCTTTCCAGCTCCTTAGTTGCATCTGTTATCACAGGTCTTCTCCATCCGAGTCTTCGGTGGCGTGCAGCAGTTTTCTCCACGAAACGGCGGGGTAGACAGTGGACCATGTTCTCGCCGTTCCTCCTCCTCCTCCTCCTGGGCATGTGGACAGATTCGATTACGCCTCGCTGACCTGGCACTGGATCGCTGGCTGCTGCCGTCTCGCGCTTGCGCCATCCGACGTGGGAGCTTGTAATATGATTGTTAGTCTCCTCCGTCCTCATCCTCCTCCTCCTCCTCCTCCTTCTCCTTTGTTTCGTTGGTGAACTTACGCCACGGAGCTCCTTCTCCTCCTCCTCCTCCTCCTCCTCCTCCTCCTCCTCCTCCTCTCCCTGGCTTGTGCTCGCTAGGGTCCCTGTGCGCTCGCCGTTCGACCAGGCCGTTCTTCCCACGCGCGAGCCTGCCGTGTCTGTGTCAGGTTGTCTCTCCTCCTTTCCTTGACGTTTATCTTGTTCCTCCCTCCTCCACGGCCGGTTTTGTCAGCCCCGCAGCGCGCTGCCTTATTTCTCTATCCCGTGCTGGTCTAACTTACCCATCTCTCGTTGAAAAGGTGCACTTGTGGGATTCCCAGTTCCCAATCTACTTCAGCCACGCTCTACTTCAAGAGTCGAGCGGCTTCCCCTCTTCCCTCCTCTTCAGGGGGCGGGCGGAGACCCGCTCTACTTCCAACGCCTTCCTACTTCATGTTTCTACCCACTTCTTCCGACCGATGGGTACTTCAGATTTCGTAATAAAGGGAGGGGGGTCTCATTTCGGGGGGGGGCTCTCTTCCAGGCTATCTTGGAGGGCCTGGGGGGGTCTGGGGACGATGTTTGGAGGGTTCTCCCACGGGGGAGGTCTGAAATGGCTTGTCTTGGAGGGTCCAGACCCCCTCCCTTTTATTACGACATCTGGAGTACCTTATCGTGTCATGTCCGCTCCCCATCGCTCTTGCTCCGAAGAAGAGGCCCCGGCCAGTCCTGGCTCAGGGTCGCGTCTCTGTCGCCTTGTCGTCCGAGCTCGTGCTCTCGCCGTGGTGCCAGCCGCGCTCGTGGCTCAGCTCTGCATTTTCACCGCTGTGCCAGCTCCGCTTTTTCCTGCCTCCCTCTCCTTGCCCATCTCCCTCCCCTTATCTCCCCCCACTTTTTGTCGCCGACCCCCCAGCCGTCCCTGGTCACCCTCCCCGCTTTCCCCGCCCCGCGAGTTCCCCCAGGACGGAATCTACACTCGTCTGGTGGTTGGACGCACCCCACCCACACCATGCATTTCCACAAAGACGTTGGTTTGCGGTTTCGCGGCTCTTGCGGATATTTCGGCCAGGCCCAGCTCAGTGGTTTAGCGAATCCGTGCCGTCCACATCTTACAACCAAGGCCAGGCGCGAGTACGTCGATCGTATCTCTTGCGACCTATTTTCCAAGTGCTGAGCCTGCATGCTTTTTATCACTACGTGATGGCGGAAATCCTTCAATCCCTCCCCCCCCCTCGCCACCCCCTCTCACCGGTCATCCCCTCCCTTTCTTCCCCTCCTTGTCCTCCTCCACCTCCCCGCCCTGCCCCGCCCCCTGCCCCTCTTCCCCTCTCCCTCCTGCCTGCCTCCCCCGTCTCCTCTCTCGCGTGCTCTCCGTCCCTCCCTCCTGGCGCCTCCCCCCCCTCCTCCGCTGCACACGTGCCGCCCCCGGCGGCCCCCCCCCCCCTGCAGGCCACGAAGCAGCTCTGCATCGCGGCATTCTGCAGAGGCCCGGCCCCCGGGGGGGGGAGGGTAGATGCCGAGATGGGCCACGCGGGCACCCATGCCCTTCGTCCTCCCCCGTCCTCCGCCTCTCGCCGTGCCCACTCCCTGCAGCTCTCCTCCTGCTCCTCCCCCTCGTCGTCGCCGGCCTCCCCCTCCGCCTGCTCGCCGCCCCCTTCCCCAGGGGAGCGAACAATGACAGAAACACAGAAACTCGGAGAACGGCGCGGATTTCTCGGATCGGCGCTGGACCCCCCTCCCTGGCGCGGCGTAGCGCGCCAGGGGCGTAGCGCGCCAGGGGCGGCGCCGGAGGCGCCGCCAGGGGTGTCCAGCGCGGACGTCCGAGCTTTTATGTTTATGTCGTTGTTCGCTCCCTATACGGTGGAGACCCATGCCAAGAAACACCCTGCTTGCCTTCAGGGTGCCCTGGGTTTCCTGGGTTTCGATGGTTTGGCGATGGAAGGCGCGACGTTCCCGCACCAAGCATCAGTGGACGTCCTGGGGTCTCAGGGTTGGGTTTCGTGTGGAAGGCTTCTTGTGGACTGGCCTCCACTGTATGTCATTGGTCCTTCCCCTTCTTTCCTTCCCCCCTCGCCTCCCCGCGGCAGCTGGCCTGCAGCCCCCAGCCGGACGCGAGCAGGAAGCGTAATGGCCGTCCCGCATCTCGAGGTGGCGCGCTCCGGCCTTGTGCTGCGGATCTCCGCCTCCTCGCTGCTGCCTGTGCTATTCCGAAGGGTTTCGCCCTTCTCCCCCCCCCCCGGGGGCCGCCTGTTCCTGCCCCGCCTCCTGCATGCCGGCCAATTCGCTGTGTAGCACCCCTGCATCGCTGCCACGCTGGAGCGGATTGTCCCGCCTCGCCGCCGGCGAACAAGAAAGGAAGTGTTAGTCTGAAGGGCTTCGCCCTCTGCCGCCCGACCCCCAGAGACTGCCCACGGGGCCACGTTCATGCCGGTGGGCTGGCTGGTACCTCGGTTCTCGGCTGGTCGGCCGGTGGTCTAGACAGCTGGTCGGCATGTAATGTGGTTTGGGCTGCTGGCTGTCTCGCGGGTGGCGTGCGTCCTGTAGTATTCAGTGGGGGAGCGGGGTGGTGTTCTCCGGATTTCGCATCTATCTTCATTTATCGGGCCGGACGAAAGGGGGGGTTGGGAAAGGGGGGGTTACGAAATCTGCTGCATGCAGCTGGTTTCGGCCCCACCGACGGGCCCATTCCTCGATACATGGCCGCCTCCGGCGCCGGGAGGCGCCAGGAAAATCAGGTACGTGAGCTGATTCTCCCCCCCCCCCCCCCTTTGCTATCCCCCCCTTTCGCCCGGCCCGAATTTACCAGGCATGGGTGCCTCGAGAGCGCGTGTGTGTCGTAACGTACACGTCGCTAGGGCGTACTCATGTATTGGGGACTGTGGCCTCGGGGCGCCAATGCAGCGACATTCTAAACGCTTCGCGTAACCCCGACCTCTTCGCGATCAAAAAAAAAAACAAAAAAACAAGCCCATCCAGAAACGATGCCCAGACGAGTTGCCCTAACCAGGGATGTGGAGTAGAATGCAGTGGAATGACGTGTTGGGTAAGGCGTCGTTCCCCAAGAGGGGGAGGATGGAGGAGGAATCGGAGGAGGAGCAGGAACAGGAGGAGGAGGAGGAGGAGGAGGAGGAGGAGGAGGAGGAGGAGGAGGAGGAGGAGGAGGAGGAGGGAGGAGGAGGTGGCAATGGTTCCCCTCTCGGGGGGCAGGCCTCCCGCCGGGGAGCGCGACGGGCCGTCGGGGACGAGCCCCGACGGGTGGTCCCGTCGGCGTGCCGGGCGGGGGAGGCCTGGGACCCCGCGCCCCCCGTTGGCATGCCGGGGGGGCGGGCCGTGCTCACGGTCGGGGGAGCGTAAGACCCGGGTTTGCCAGGACTCGGGTTCGCCATCGTTTTTTGACGAGGAGGAGTTTCGTGGGATGTCTGCAGCGGGAGGCCTCGTCAAAATGCAGGCTCGGCCTCGTCATTTTTTTGACGACCTCGTCGGGGATTTCCGAGTCCCCCGTACCCGGGTCTTACGTCTCCCCGACACGGGCACGGCGCGGTGCCGCTGAGAAGGCATGCTCTGGTTCTCGGAAGACTCGGAGGTGGATAGACCTCCGAGTCGGGTGCTCCAGATTTCGTAAGAAAGGGAGGGGGGTCTCACTTCGGGGGGGGGGTCTCTTCCAGGCTATCTCGGAGGGCCTGGGGGGTCTGGGGACGATGTTTTGGAGGGTTCTCCCACGGGGGAGGTCTGAAACGGCTTGTCTTGGAGGGTCCAGACCCCCTCCCTTTTATTACGAAACCTGGAGTAGACCTCCGAGTCAGGTGTGTGCTGAAAGCGGACGGGTGCGCCGCATTGGCGGCGAAGCCGCATGTGAGCCCTGCTACGGGCGTTCGGTGGAGCTCCCACTGGGGCCACGAGACGCGTGAGCGATGTGCCAGAAGGGGGGGGGAACCGCAAGAGGACTTTGCTACTGGGGCGTTTGGTGCAGCTCTTTCGGGGTCCACGAACGGCCTGAGGGGTGGACCGAAATGTGCGCGCGGAGGGCAGAGGCAATCGGAGGTGGATAGACCTCCTACCCAGACACGTCGATTCAGGAATTGGCCGTTTTCGGTTCGCGAGAGGGCGTCGCGGGCGTCAGTTTTGCGGGTCCAGGTCCGTTGGTTTCGGTTCCAGGCCTTTTTCACTAAGGGGAGGTTTACTAAAGGGAGGTTTTTTCCACCGCCGAAAGACGTGTTTCAGGAGGGGAAAAACACAGACATCATTAATCGTCGATTCCCCTGAAAAATATGGTAAAACATGGGAAGTGGGGGGGAAGATCAAACCCAGAAGCTATAAGAAATTATGGGGATCCTGTTCTTTGTGTGTACGTATTTGTGTGTGTCCCGGGGCCCCTTCAGTGTTATGGAGCCCGCTTGCGGGCTCCCCACCTGCTGCGGCGCCGAGCTCACGGGCATGGCGTGGTGCCGAAAAGGCATGCTTCGGTGCTCACACGCCTGCTGTGCATGTTGTGGCGCTTGCGGCCTATTGCGGTGCGCATAGGTCAGGCGGGCTCACCGCCAAGGTGCCTTGCTCGGAGGGCGGCGGGTCGGGGGACCGATGGCGGACAGGAACGCGTTGGCGCACGTGGGCCCCAAACAGTTATTCGTTTTACTTGACGCGCAGGGCACGCGATGCAACCTGTGCGGTGCTACCACTGTCGGCGCTAGTGCTCGAATGCAATCGTTGTTTTGGGAATTCCACGGCGCTGGAGCTTTCGACCCCATCGTGAGGCTCTTGTTGTTCCTCCTTTCACTGCTCCTCTTGCTCCTGCTGCTCCTCCCCCCGCTCCGTTTTCCCCCTAGGCGGTGCCGTACACATGGATCCTGTGGTGCACACAGGCGCTGTGGTGTACACGCGCGCATTGGTGCACGCAGGCAACGAGGTGTACGCAGGCGCTGTTGCGCACACGGCAGCTGCAGTTTTTACAGGCACTGCGGTGTACATATGCGACGTGGTGGAGCGGTGCACGTGGCAGTTGTGGTTTATGGAGGCATTGCGGTGTACACAGGCGGCGGTGCGTTGCACGCAGGCATTGGGTATTGTCGTGTACGCAAGGACTTTGGTGTGCACAAGGGCGATTGATGCGCTGGTGGCGCGGACGCACCTTGGCGGGTGCACGCCGCGGCCGCCGTTACCGTTGCCCTCCCGCCCAACCTCCCCCCCGGGTAACGACTGTTACCCCGGAGGGAACAAAACGCTCATTTCCCATCTCCTCCTTTCCATTCCTCCTTCCTGCTCCCTCCTCCCTTTCCTCTCGACCCTCCTTCCTCATCTCTCCTCCCTCCCTCCTCAGCATCCTTCTGCCCCGTCCTCCTCACCCAGCCTACCTCTGCTCCACCCTTGACTCATCCTCTTCCATACTTCTCCTCGTCCCCATCTCTGTCTCCGTCGTCCTATCCTCCTTCAGTCTGCTTCTCCTGCGCATTCTCTGTTCCTCCTCCTCCTCCTCCTCCTTCTGTCCATCTCTTATTCGTATCGGGCGCTCGTCCACTATCGCAGGTCGTTGCTTGTGCTGATCCCGGGGGACACATGTATCCCTTAACCCAGAGAAAAGTTGAGCAGGTGCACGATGGACCAAGAGTGCGGCTGTAATCCGACAGTTGTAGCAAGCATCCTTCGCTCGTGTAGTTTGGTTGAACGTCTGCACAGGAAGCTTAGCGGTCAACCAGACCACCAGGGGGCAAGCACACGCATGATTGCTTCCGCGTGGATGCTCCCGCGAATTCATGCACACGCACGTCCGCGTCCCCACTCGCATGCACGTGCTCATGCTACGCACACGAACGTGCACAGGATGCGTATGCGCGCGCACGCGCGCTCTTTGATACCGCATGGCTGGCGCAGCTGTGGTGTGAGGGCACGTCGAAGCCGATGGCGGCTGCGCGGGTTCGATCGCTCATTGAGTGCACAAAAGAGAGTAAAGGAGGAATATGGACAGGGGGGTGATGGAGAGGTGGAGGTTCTGGAGAAAAAGTGGAGGGGGGAAGGAGGGGGGCGTTCATGGAGTGATCGGGTGACGGAGGGGAGGGGAGGGATAGGAGGGAAGGGTGCAGGGGTCGGATGACGCGAGAGAGAGGGAGGGAGGGAGGGAGGGAGGGAGGGAGGGAAGGGAGAGCGGCGGGGAGACAAGTGGCGGAGCAGGCGGGGCCAGGGGTGCACCAGATGGACGAGGAGGGTACGGGCACAGGCCTGTGGGTCCGCGAAGACGCCAAAGAGGGGCGCGCCGGCGAGGGGCGATGTACGACTCTCTGGGCTCGTGGAAGTGCGTCAACGTGCTTCTCCAGGACGGCCCGGGCCGCTGCACCCCCTCCTCCTCCTCCTCGTCCTCCTCCTCCTCCTCCTCCTCCTCCCTCCTCCTCCTACTCTTGCTCCTGCTGCTCCTCCTCCTCCTCCCCCTTTCCTCCTCCTCCTCCTCCTCCTCCTCCTCCTCCGCCTCCTCCTCCTCCTCGTGTCGGTGTGTTTGTTCACTGTCTTCTACGCCATTATCTTCTACCCGTCCGTGGAGGCGTAGGGTGTCTTTGTTAGGTCGGCCCTAAATCTGAGCTGACCGCGTGAGGCTGTCCATGCGCACAGGCTTCCCATATCATCGAATCGAATCCTCCTCCTCCTCCTCCTCCTCCTCCTCCTCCTCCTCCTCCTCCTCCTCCTCCTCCTCCTCCCTCCTCCTCCTCCTCCTCCTCTCTCCTCCTCCTCCTCCTCCTCCTCCTCCTCCTCTCCTCCTCCTCCTCCTCCTCCTCCTCCTCCTCCTCCTCCTCCTCCTCCTCCTCCTCCTCCTCTCCTCCTCCTCCTCCTCCTCCTCCTCCTCCTCCTCCTCCCCCCCCCGTGTGGGCGGGGGCTCGGCCTGTGCTCTCGTCGTCCTCCCGGTGCGTGTGGAGGCCCGTCGCAGAGGCCCCTGCGGAGCCCGCAGGGCGCGAGAGCCACGGGGGGGCCTCGCGCACATAGGGGGGGGAAGCTGGCCCGCAGGGGGAAGGATTCGGGCATGTCGTGGGGCCATCAAGGAGGGGGGGAGGATAGCAAGAGGAGGAGGAGGAGGCGGATGAGGAGGAGGAGGAGGAGGAGGAGGAGGAGGAGGAGGAGGAGGAGGAAGACAAGGAGGAGGAGGAGGAGGAGGAGGAGGAGGAGGAGGAGGAGGAGGAGGAGGAGGAGGAGCAGGAGGAGGACGAGGAGGACGAGGTGGACGAGGAGGACGAGGAGGAGAGGAAGAAGGAGGAGGAGGAGGAGGAGGAAAAGAAGGACCAGGATGACGAGGAGGAGGAGGAGGAGGACGAGAAGGAGGACGAGGAGGGGGAGGAAGAGAGAGAAGGAGGACGAGGAGGAGGAGGGCCCAAACCATCCGAAGATGCACTGGCGATGTTGCGCAACACGGCCTGCCGACCCGAGTCTCCTCATTTGTCGCTGCACGCCTTCTTTTTCACCACAAGCTTCTTCCTCGGGAGCCCATCTGCAACCCCGAACTGTTGGCACATGCTTAAGCGAAATGTGGGCGACGCTACAGAGAGAGAGAGAGAGAGCCCCCTGGTGAAGCCGACCTGCGCTCTCTCCTGGTACATGCTGCAAGTGTTTCCGACGAGCTTGCGCGGAGCGACGGCGAGAGCCCGATTTCTCAAACGACCTGCGTCCCATCCCTGGATTTGTTGCCGCATTCTGAAACGAATGTGGGCGCTAAGCAACGGGCCACATTTTGAAAACCGTCCGCCCTCCATCTCTGAAGCCGTTCAAACTTTGAAGGCGACTGTGCGCGAGGCTCATGCGAGAGCCATGTTTTTGAAAACTGTCCGCCCTCCATCTGTGAAGCTATTGCATTTCTTTGAGGCGATCATGTGCGGCGCTAAGTCGAGAGCCACACTTGTTCAAAACCGCCCGCCCGCGATCCTTGAAGCTGATGCAGTTTTCAAGACGAGTGTGCGCGGCGCTGAAGCTCTGTTTTGAATCCGACCCGCGCTCCATCTCTGAAGCTGATGTGAATTTGAAGCCCCTCGATCATAGATGGTGAAATCAACGCAGCGAAGCGCCCGGACCGGACACATTGAGGGTGTGTCAGGGCGCAGTTCTATCATATATCTGTATATATATATATATATATATATATATTTATATATATAGATATTAAAGAACGGAGTGGCGGCGAAGGAAGCCTCCTGGTGGTCTCTTCTTGCTCGCTGGGCGCCTCCTGGGGGACCCTGTAGTCACTCGCGAAACGCTGGCGCCGACCCAAGGAGATCGGGTAGGAAAAAGATAAACCCTCCTGAAAGTCCGTGTCGTTTAACCTACCTCTATCCCCATCAGGCCACGACATCTCAGCCCCCAGCTCAGCACCCCAGTTGGGGACACAGCCCTCGAATCCCGAAGGGAACAGCCTGTATCCTAATCTAGCGATGTAGATTGGTCGGTGGAGCCAAGGCCATGCCAGTGGGGACGGGGATCGGTGACACGACGCTCACTTAGGGGCATAGTGGTTAAGTCGGGCCTGTCCCTCTACAGGGGGAACGTCCAAAAATAGTCAAACAAAATAGTCGGGGGACTATGTTCTCAGCATTTTTCGACCATTTTGGGGTACAGTTTGAGTATTCGTTCTTTCTCGTCCAAAATCCCGCTGTAGGGGGACAGGCCCGACTTACAATTAGGGGAGTATAGGGGTGGGAAGAGGAAGCGATCCAAGCCGGCAGCGCCCAGATGGCCGGTGGGGCTGCGGCGAGGGGGCCCACGTCGGCACGAGGATCTGCGGTTCTCTGCTGCGGCATGGCTCCGTTCAGGAGGGGAAAGAACACACAGACACAATTCATCGTCGATTCCCCAGAACATATGGGAAAATATGGGAAGTGGAGGGGAAGACACAAACCTAGAACATATGGGAAAATATGGGGACTCCGGTTATTTGTGTGTATTTATTGGTGTGTGTGTCCCAGGGCCCCTTCATCCATGAGCTTGCTACAGGTCATGATCCTCCTGCAGCCGCTGCTGCCAATCCTCGTCTTCATTGTTGAGTGGGGTATTCGGTTTGTTGATGCTATCATGGGTGCTTGCAGTTGCATTCTTACCGATCCATGTGTCAGCGCTTGCTCACGACTCTTTGCGTACCCGTGTCCCTCCCTCGTTCCTCCCTCTCTTCATTCTCCCTCGGGCCGGCCAAGGTTCTCTCCCTGGCCCCCCATTCCACCTCCCGTTCTCCCGTATGCTTCCCTCATCCGGATTTCCACGATATTCCTTCCTTCGTCCTCATTCCACTGTCCTCTTTCCCCCATACTCCTTCCCTGGTCCCTCCGTCCTCATCGCTCTATCCTCATCTCTCCTCTCCCGTCTTTCCTCGCCCCTCCTGCCCTTCTCTTGTCCAACATCCTCACTCCTTCGCGTCTTCGCCGTGTTTCCCTCGCAGAATTTCCGGGGTACCTGTGTTGGGACGTCACGTTCATTTTTGTCCCCTTCCTCCTCCATGCTTTCTGGGGGAGGGGCAGTGGGAGGGGGAGGGGGAGGGGGAGGAGGAGGAGGAGGAGCAGGGGGAGGAGGAGGAGGAAGAGGAGGAGGAGGAGGAGAAGGAGGAGGAGGAGGAGAAGGAGAAGGGGGGGAGGAGGTTGCCCTTCTTCCATGTTCCTCCTCCCCCCTCTCGCCGTCTCTCCCTCCCTCCATCCCTTCTGTTGTGCTTCACTTCCTCACCCCTCAGCCATTCCGCTTTTGTTCCGTTTGTCTCGTGCGGCCTCGGCATTGTTTGCAGCCGCTGCTCATCGTCATTGTTGCAGCTCGACGCTTAGCATTCATACGCAGCACCCTACACATTGTATTCTCGCTGTGTTACAATGGCCCCTTACGCTATTGCTTTGTTATTCTGCGCGTGATTCTTCATTGGGTTTCCCAGGAGCTGTCTAGCACGGAAGCTGCAGAGCTATTTCTGAGGTGCCGCATTTTTTGTGCGACGAAGGGTGAGGGACATTGATGATTATCATAATGACGGGAATGACCAATTTGTCATGATGACCTTTGTGTTAGTTATGGTGAGTATGATGGTGATGACGATTCCGATGATCTTGACGATGGTGCCGATCCCAATTATGATGAGGACGGCGATTATGATCTGATGGCGAGTGCGACGACGAGTGATGATGCTGTCGTTGATGACGGTCGTGACGATGATGAGGAGAAGGAGGATGAGGATGAGGTTGCTCCGCGCACCAGGGAGGGGGGGTTCCAGCGCTGTTCCAAGCAATCGGCGCGGACCTCCGAGGTTTTGATTCTGCCATTGTTTGTTCTCCGATGGCCTTCCCCCCCCTCCGCAACTTCCTCCCCAACTCTACGCAGCTCCGTCACTCGGGGGCGTCCAGGTCCGCTGTGACCCCCCGTCGGCAGACGGAGAACACGTCGGCGCAATGGGAAGGGCTGGGTGGAAGGGGTAAGGTGTGAGATGTGGCGCGCGCGCGCCTGGCTGGCCTCCCCCCCCCTTGGCCTTAAGTCGGGCCTGTCCCTCTACAGGGGGAATATTCAAAAATAGTCAAACAGTAGTCTGGGGACTATTTTTGTTAACAATGTTTGAGCATTTTTAGGGTATGGTTTGGGTATTCTTTACATTTGTCGTCCAAAATCCCCCTCCAGGGGGGACAGGCCCGACCTAACATTGGCCCCTCCCCCCACCCGATCCCCCCTCCCCCGCCATGCTGCCCCTCCTCCCGGGCCCCATGGGGCGTAGCCCCGCTCCCCAGCGAGGCCCCTCGGTCAGCCGCCCCGACCACCTCGCGAGGGACCACCCGCGCGGAGCCGACGCGCGCACGGGACGCGGGCGCCCTGGCGAGGGCGCGCCTCCGACCTCTCCCTGGCATCGCTCGGAGGTGTGCATTTTTTCTCGGCGAGGACCATTGAGGACGATCCTGGACCATCGAGCAAAAAAAAACACGCACGAAACCGAAAAATGCACGGGAACTGGACGTCCGAGCGATGGCCAGTCTCCCCTGGCGAGCCCCTCGCGCCGTGCTCGCAGCGCGCGGCGGCTGCCGGGCGCGGCGCGGCGAGCGGTCCCTCCCTCCCTCCCCCCACTTGGTGACCGCGTGCGAGCTCTGCCCCCCCCCTCCCCCGCCCCCGCCCCCGACGATTTCCGAGGGGGGGTCGGGGTTCATTCCGCTCGGAGCTCCCGAAAGAGGTGACCCCCCCCCTCCCCCCGGGTTCATTTCGCTCGGGAGGTCCCGAACGAGGTGGACCCCGCCCCCCCCCCCTGTAGAAATCGTGGGGGGTGGGGGTGGGGCTCACGTGTGGTCGCCTGCCCCCCCTCTTCCCTGCCCTCGCCCGCTCTCCTCCCCTCCGACACCCTCGCTCTCGCCCCCCCGCCCCGCCACCCACCGGCGGGTGCTGCCAGGCGCGCGGTTGCTGCTGCCCCTGATGCGCCCGTGGCGTGGCTTGGCGTCGTCCGGGCGTGCGCATTTTTGTCCAGGCGAGGGCCATCGAAGAGCAGATCGGAGTATCCTACGGAAACCACCGAGCGCGTTCCACCACTCGCAAAGTGCCTACGCACACGCGTCAGAACAAAGAACAAGCATGTCTTCCTAGCTGTAATGGATCGTCAATTCCCCGCGGCGGATCCGGGCCACTTGGGAGCAGTTTCTCTGCGAGTCGTGGAGCGTGCTTGTCTAGAACAAGTGCACACACGACATCGAAACATGCACTGGGAATTGTCGTCCGAGCGTCGGCAGGGTGGGGGGACCCAGTGCGGAGTGCGGTGCCACGGCAGGTTCGTGTCGCAACGGCGCGGCGGCGACCGCTCTGGGCGTTCAGGCGGAACGCCGCCTGGCGATCGACCGCTGCCCCATCTCCCCCTCTCGGGGGCAGCTTTTTTAAAGGGGGGAGAGCCTGGGGGGTACAGTCGGGGCCCTGAAGAAGGAACCCTTTTCGTTGGGGAGGGGCTCCGTGTTCCTTAATTGTTTCGCAGCTTGCCTTAGATTTTCCTTAGGGTTTCGATACGAAATCGAAGTTTAACTTATGGAAAATAGGGGACTCGTTCCTTCTTTAGGGTTCCTTAGGTCAACGCCTCGACTGTACCAGCCTGAAGCATGCCCCTATCTCTAAGATGGGCGCCACCTTGTGTCGATGCCGATCTCAAGGATTACCTCCGCACGTGAGGACGCATCCCCAATATCGTCGGTCGCCTTTTGGCTTGTCAATCTTAGGAGTACAGTTATCCCGCATAAGAAGGATTGTCAACCTTCCCAAGGGTACCCTTGCATCTTTGCCTCCTCGGCACATCCTTGGCCACTTTCGTTGGCCGCGTCCCTCTCGAAGAGCTTCGAATCGGGCGTCCAAGGCCCTTGCATCCTTACCCAGATTCCTACTTCAATGATCGAGTGGCGTCACCTTTTCCGTCCTCTTTGAGGGGGCGGGCGGACACCCAATCTACTTTCAACGCCTTCCTACTTCATGCTTCTTGCTTCTTCCAACTTCTTCCGACCCATGGGTATCGCGCATCCTTCTGATACGAGCCCACTGTAGGGATCCGTTCGAGGCCGGTTACAGGGGGGTGGGGGAGATGCGTCGGCTCCCGCGCGCCCGCTGGTCGCTGACGGGGGGGCCAGCCGCCCCGCCCAGGGGCGTCCGGATGCGCCATCGGGGGCCCACCGCCGATCTATCGGCGATGCATCGCCGACTCCAGCTCGATGGCCTCCCCCCCCCTAGCCAGTCCTGCTGACGCTCCCCCTCACCTCTCCCCCTCCTCCTCCTCCTCCTCCTCCTCCTCCTCCTCCTCCTCCTCCTCCTCCTCCTCCTCCTCCTCCTCCTCCCACCTCTGCCCCCCCCAGCTGTTGTTCGATAGGAGTGCCTCGATCACCGCCCTTGCTTTCGTATGCCCATCTCGTATACCGCTTCTTGCACGCCAGGACTGCCCCGAGTTGGCAACAGTGGTGCTCCCGCTGCAGCGTTTGTAGAGACCCTCTGTCCACCGCATCGTCGCTCTCGCCGTAGCGCTTGCCGTACTCATGCCAGTGAAGGCGGTTATCCCGCTGTATGGTTTTCCACATCTGAACAGTTCCGGCGGGCTTCCGTCCACGGACACGGCGGTCTCGTCGCAGCGGTGGCAGTGTTCTTGCACCAGCGGCCCCGGTGCCCCCGCACACGCAAACATATCCGTGGAGCCTCCGTCTGACTGACGGCGTTCTCGCCGCATCGCTGGCCGCAGTCCTGCATCCACGAAGGTCAGGAGGGAAAAAAGAACACAGACACAATTCACCTTCGATTCCCCAGAAAATATGGGAAAGTATAGGGAGTGGTGGGGAAGACAAAAACCCATGAAATATGGGGAAGTATGGGGAATCCTGTTATTTGTGTGTATTTATTTGTGCGTCCTGGGGCCCCTTGAGAAAGTGGTGTTCTCGCTGCAGCTTGTGCCACATTTATTCCAGAATTTCTATCGGGCCTCCGTACAACGGAACGACGCTCTCGCCGCGGCGGTGTCCGCACCTCCGCATTCACATGTGACCCGTGTCACCCCAGCTTTTGATTCCCGGGGGGTTAAGGTCCTCTTCGATCAGGCTATCCTTTTGGGATCAAGGTCTTCCTGACACCCGACTATGCGAATAGAGAGGGCGGCATATGGGACGGGACGTGTTTGGCGAGCGCAGTTGAATGGGACATGACGGAGGGGTAGGGCTTGAGATGTGGCGCGAACGCAACCAGCTTGCCCCTCCCATCTCCTTCCTCCCCTCCTCCCTCTGCTCCTTTCTCTCGACTGCGAGCCCGAGGGGGAAGTGAGAAGTGGCGGGCTTTCTCAGAAGACTCGCAAGCCCCCTGGCCTTCTGAGAAGTTCCCTGAGCCTTCCCCGAAGGCACGGGAAACCTTTGAGACGGCGCGAGGGCTAATGAGAAGCACCGCCGCCTTCTGAGAAGGCCTTCTCCTTCTCACTTCCTCCCCTCGCTCGCCGTCGATCCTTTATCTGCACGCCGTGCTTGGCCAAAACGCCCAACACGTCCTCCCCCCTCGGCCGCGCCTGGGCGGCGGAGCGACGCGCAGGCGCATCCACCGCCCCTTGCGCCCCTGCGACCTGCAGGCCGGTGCCGGGCTGGTGGGCGAGGTTCCGGCCGGAGGCGCTGGGGGGGCGTCCTTTCCTCTCCTTCAAGCAGTGGCGAAGCTTCCCACCTCGTCTATAGGCCTACCAAAGAAGATTCTAAGAACTTTTTATGGTCTCCACGAATGTTCTTAGAACATTTATGGCTGATACTGCTTCGTTTTAGCACATCGGGTCTATGTTCTAAGAACATTGTTTTTGTTCTTAAAACATGTTTGGGTTCTGAGAAGATGTCGTGGTAGGCTTATAGGAATGCCCGGATGGTCGGTCCCTGCTCAACTCCTGGCGTCAAGGGAAAAAACTCAGAGGAGGAACGGGTACCCACACTGCTACCCTGCGCCCGTTTTCCCCTTTTTGGGGCCTCCAGGGAGGCCCTCGTCGCCACCGCTGGATTCGCCTCGAAGTTCCGGCCAGAATTCGCCCAGAGGAGAGGTCCAGGGAGTAGCGGTATCGGCACCTTTTGGTTTCCTCATTCCTGGCGTCGAGGGACGCGTTGACCATGATCAAGATGTCGCTGGATCTCGTCGACGCCGATCCTGGCCATGGTCCGTGCTGGCCGACGCCGCCTGCGCGAGGAGCATTTACGAGTCGACGGTGACCAAGATGCACAGCGACCAAGCTCGGCACCGACGTTCCCGCGTTCAGTCTTGGTCACGCTCCTCGGTTGCTTTCTCTCAGTGGCTGGGTGGTTGCCGCTCCATCTCTCTCTCTCTCTGGATCCCGCATCTGCGCTTAGCGATCCTGTGGGCTGTTAGTCATCATCGTGCTGCTGCTGCTGTGCCACGGATGCTGCTGGTCCTGCCTTGACTCCTGCGGACTGAGCCCAAGCGGCTTGCGCCACCCCGCCGACCCCCAGGAAAGCAGATTTCAGGGCGTGCCGTGGGGCCCCCCCCGTTTCGGCTCGTGTGCTACTTGGCAGCCTGCACACGCACCACTTCCCCGTCTCGAGAAGTCCTCTTGCTGTTCTTCCTCTTCCTGGTCCCCTCCCCCTCCTCCGCCTGCTCCTCCTCCCCCTCCCCCTCCCCCCTCCCCCTCAACATCGACATCACCTCCAGCGGTGTGCGTCGTCGCCCATTCTCCCTGCTCCCTCCTCGCCTTCCCCCTTCATTCCCCCCCTCGCCCTCGCCATTATTTTTCGCCCTTCCCCTCGCCTTCCCATATTCCCCCTCGCCTTCTCCTTTCCCCCTCTTTCCCCCTCGCCTTCCTTCTCCTCTCACATTCCCCCCGTCGCTCCCCATCGCCATTCCCTGGCCATTCGCCTCAGGAAGTCTTTAGTTATTGGAAAGAGCGCGTTCTGTGGGGGGGGCGGGGAGGTTTGGAACCGGACCCCCCCTGGTTCGACCCCCCCTCTCCCGTGACGGGGGGGGTTCGAATCCCCCCCCCTCCCCCTCCTCTCCATTTCTCCTCTCCCTCTCCTCGGGCCGGCGCCTGCGTCGGAGGCGGCTGGCGGCGGCGGGGACGACGACTTATTTTTCTGGGCCGGCGCTGTCGCCTGTTGCGGCGGGCGGCGGCGGCGGGGAGCGTCGACGAGGACGACGGTGACGACGATGACGACGACGACGCTCCGCCACCGTGTCTTCGTTTTGGGTGAGAGTCCTAATGGATGCCTCTTGGGGTCTCGTCGGAGGGCTCTCGGGGGCTTCTGAAAGGCATTTGTGCAGCCTCCTGGGCGCCTCTTGGGCGTCTCTTGGGGCCTCTCTGAGGTAGTGGTGGTGGTGGTGGTGGTGGGCTGTGGTGGTGGTGGTGGTGGTTGTGGCGGTGGTGGTGGTGGTGGTGCGGTGGTTTCTGGTGGTGGTGGTGGTAGCGGTGGCGGTGGTGGGAAAAGGTGGCGGTGGCGGTGGCGGTTGTGGTGTGGTGGTTTGTCGTGGTGGTTTTGGTGGTGGTAGTGTTTGTGGTGGTGGTGGTGGGTTGTGGTGGTGGTGGCGGTGGTGGTGGGTTGTGGTGGTGGTGGTGGCTTGTTGCGGTGGTGGTGGTTGTGGTGGTGGTGGGTGCTGGTGGTGGTGGTGGTGTGGTGGTTTGTGGTGGTGGTGATGGTGGTGGGTTGTGGTGGTGGTGGCGGCGGTGGTGGTTGTGGTGGTGGTGGTGTGGTGGTTTGTTGTCATGGTGGTGGTTGCGTTGGTGGGTGGTGGTGGTGGTGGTGGTGGCTTGGTTGTGGCTGTGGTGGTGGTTTGTGGTGGTGGTGGTGGTATGTTGTTGTGGTGGTGGTGGTGTGGTGGTTTGGTGGTGGTAGTGGGTTGTGGTGGTGGCGGTGGTTTGTAGACGTGGTGCTTGTGGTGGTGGTGATGGTGGCGGTGGTGGTGGTGTGGTGGTTTGTGGTGGTGGTGGTGGGTTGTGCTGTTGGTAGTGGTGGTGGTTGTGGCGGTGGTGGTGGTGGTCGTAGTGGTGGTTGGTAGATTGTGGTGGTGGTGGTGGTGAGTTGTGGTGGTGGTGGTTATTGTGGTGGTGGTGGCTGTGGTGGTGGTTGTGTGGTGGGTTGGTGGTGGTGGTGGGTTGAAGTGGTGGTGGTGGTGGTGGTAGTGGTGGTAATCGTCGCTGCGTCCCCTCCGTCGGCGCTGCTGGCCGCCGTCAGCGCCGGCGCCGGCGCCGGCGCGAGGGGTGGGGGGGCGGTTTGGAACCCCCCCGCTCCCCCCTTGGGCTGCCTCTGGTCAGCGTCGCTGCGTCCCCGCCGTCGGCGCTGCTGGCGGCCGCCAGCGCCGGCGCCGGCGCTGGGGGCGGGGGGTGTTTTGAACCCCCCTCCCCCCCTTGGAGGGGGAGGGGTTCGGGAGGGGGGGGGAGGGGGGGAGGGGAGTCTCCCCCCCTTCGACGGCGCCGAGTGTTGGGGGGGGCACCCACCCTGGTTCGAAACGCGCCGTCGAATTTTCCCAAGGCAAGCGCCCGTGAAGCGCGATCTCTCAGTTATTGTTCTCCCTGCTCTCTAGGCCATGAATCAACTCGTGTTCTCCAGGTGTGCATGCATTGATTCCTCTGATGTTTGTCATGCGGCAGGGTAGGCCCTGGGTTACGTGCGCCGGGGCTTCGGAGGTCGCGAAGATCATTACAGTATTGGGCGCGTTTCCTTTCTACCCTCGCTCTCCTCCTCCTCCTCCTCCTCCTTCTCCTCCTGCTCCTCCTCCTTCTCCTCCTCCTCTCCTCCTCCTCCTCCTCCTCCTCCTCCTCTTCGTCCTCCTCCTCATCCTCCTACTCCGCAATATTGCCGCCGTCGTGCCCGTGACTGTTTCCGGTGGGTGCGCTCATGGCTCACACCCCCCATGTGAGGAAACGGATATCGTGTGCAGTGCTTTCGGACGGGGGCATCATGTGCTTGTGCGCTGCCGTCGTGTTCTCGTTCATGAGGAATTAACTCGCCTCTCCTCCTCTATTTGCTCCTCCTCCTCATCCTCCTCTCGTCGACCAGCCTATCCCGCCGACTGGCCACCTCGCGGTCCCTGACGATCAGCAGATCACCATTCCTCACATCATTTATTTGGGTCAACTCGCACGCCTACGGCAGAGGCAGCTAGCGCAAGCGGCCCTGCCAGACAGGCAGAGCCGCAGACGTGAGCACCTAGCAGAGGTGCCGACCCTGGCTATCAGCACCAACGTCGTGTACGACCCCGAGATATTTACCCGGCTGTCTTCCGCGGCCAGATCGGAGGCCGACCGCGATGTTCAGATGGGGCGACGACGTGCCCGCCGACGTGAGTACGCCCAGCAGATGGTCGACGCGGTTATGGCTTTGCTTCCCAGCCGCGGCGCCGCCGTCGCTGCCGTCGGATCAACGCGCCGCCTCGGAGTTCGCAGCAATAGAAGTTGGCGCCGATGAAGTGCGCGGCATCTGTTTGGGCCACTACGTTATCTTTGTCCTCGCCGTCATCCTTCAATGCGGCGGCTGTTCCCAACGGAGCTGCGCCGACGCCGGGGCCGCCGCCTGCCGCGACATCGCTGGGGCGCCGGCAGTAGTAGAAGAAGCACCTCGCGGCGACCGGGCCCGAGCGCCCTTCTCGCAATGCCCAACGCGTAGGCGACGTCTGGCGGCTCCCGAACACAACGCGCGTCCATGTGGCACCCGCGCCCAGCTGAGCGCCCGAGGAGATCGAGTGCCCACCGTCGGGCGCCGACGGGGTCCTGGCCACCCCACGAGGCGCACCAATCGGCGCGATCACGTTCAGCTCTCCTGCATCCGCCCAGGGACAGCAGTCGCCCCCAGGGCTCGCCAAAGGGCGGCGGGGCCGACGCGTTTCCTTGGTTGCCGCCGCCGGCTCAGCTAACGAGTGCGCCGCGCAGGTGCATCGCTGTCGCGCCTAGCTCCCCTCGGGCGGGGTCAGCGCCATCGCGCCCCGAGTTGCGTGGGCCAGTCTCGCGGGCGAGACGCTTGCGCGCCAGCTGCGCCGCCGCGCCGCAGAGGCAGGGCAGCGGCCGCGGCAGCTCCTCACGAGCAAGCCCTTGGTCACCCAGGGAGTTGGCAACGGGGCCCGAGGGCGCGCCCACCAGGCCAGGCCCCCCAAGCGCCGTCACGGATCAACGGGGCAATGCCATTATGCACATGCTCGCAGCTCCTAGTGTCAGAGGATCGGGCAGTGACCTGCCTGGCCCGCTCGGTCAGCATGGGGCCGACGCGCGCGATCCTGGACGTGGGCCGACGCGAGCTGATTTTACCTGGCGGCGGCGACGTCCAGACCCAATTGCCGACAGGCGTCGCCCCGCGCCCCGTCGCAGAAGGCTTCGAGCGGACGCCCGGTGATTGTCGTCGACGGCTTTGAGAGGGCTGTGCAAGCCGCTGGCGGAGTGCCCTATCGAAGTGCTTAGCTGCGTTGGAGGACCATCAGCAAAATGCAGGGAAACCGCCGGGATGCCATCGGGGACCAGTGGACATCAATCAGCAGCAACTGTGAAGAAACCGCGAGAAAACTTCCGGAAACCACGGGGCAACCGTCGGACAACTTGCAACGCGCCATGGGCATCTGGCCACATGAACAACCATAAGAGACTCGCGGTCAGGGCACATGGGTCAATCCAGTAGCTGGCGGCATACACACATGCGGATATGTTTTCAACGAACATCAGTGGCCACAACGGTTGTTCGCACAAAGAGTCGACGAGGCTCGCGGAGGCCATGCACGGCGCCGCCGTTATCAAAACGGGGTGCCCGTGAACAGCCGGTCGTGAATGGTTGTAGAGGCCCTCTGTGATGACGCTCAGCTACTTGAGCCCACAGCGAGCACCTGGATACGGGCATGATTGTGAAATTTCCGCCGTTGGCATTGTATGTATGCACAGGTGAACGTATTCGTTTGTCATCTGTACGGACAAGTATATTGGAACGTGCACATGTATATATATATACACATACATCTATGTGTGTACTCTTATTTACATATCGAATTGCGCATTGTGTGTGTGCGCTCCAAGTGTGGGTTGAAGCAATGACGCTCGCAACAAGTAAAGTCAGCTGGCCACACCTGTTTCCGTAAGCGCATTGCGAGAATATGACGCGCCATACACAACGAAACACACATGCTACATACCTGCGTATCCTACGACGGTGGCGGGGGGACCCTTTTGTCCGACCACGCTGTGCAATGGAAGAGGCAGCGGTCTTGACGCACGAACAACCGAGTGACACGAGACATGGAGGCGCCGTTTTGTTCAATCACGCTGCCAGCTAAGAGTGGCGGCGCGCTGGACATATAGTTTTTTACGAATGAGAATGCCAGATAATGCATGACAACAAGTTAGACTTTGTTTTTTATCATAGCCATGTTCCCAATTTCTTCACACGGAACACAATACATCCTGCACGCGCAAGGTTCCGCGTGGCAGCGTGGTTGAACGAAATGGCGCAGGAGTTGTCGTAGTCAATCGCGACAAGCCCACATATGCTATGAACGCGGCGACGTCCATGCGGCGACGTGGCTGGACGATGCCACCACACGTCATTGTTACACCCACCCTCCCACTACCACGGCACTCTTCTTTTATATTATCCAGCCGAGTAGCTGAATTGGAGCAGTTGCTAAACCTTTCGGCGTTCCTGGATACACGCGACCGGTTTTGCTGGGTTGCCTCGGTTGATGTCTCTGCTGAGGTGGCAAGCTCTTAGTTTCAGGCGCCCTTTAGGGTTGGCGCCTGTTCCATCAATCGATTATTTTGCACCTATCCCACGGCTTCAAGCGCGTATGCAGAATTTGGGATCAGCCGGATTAGCAAACATTTTGAAACAATATTCAATGTTTGCCGAACATTTGAAAAGTCAGCATCGTTCCCAAACATGTCTGCATACTTGCATGGTAGGTTGTTTTGGATGATCATTTTTCCTGTGATTCACCTGGGCCCAGGATATCAGAATCCAGGGGTCAGGCAACATATCAGTATACGTATACAGTTGGACGTTGTATGTAGGTATATAGGTATGTATATATTTGAGGTATGTATGAATGTATGTATGCATGTATGTATGTATGTATGTACCTATGTATGTATGCATGTATGTATGTATGTATGTATGTATGTATGTATGCCTGTACGGATGTACGGATGTATGTATGTGTATGCATATGTATGTTTATATTTATATATAGACATATGTGTATATGAACATGTGTATGTGTACAGGGGTATGCTTTTGTATTTGCATTTATATATGCATATGTATATGTATATGTACGTGCATACGTTTATGATCATGTATACGTAGATGTATGTGGTTGTGTGTTTGTGTATGTAGATGTATGTGTATCTGTATATGGATAAGTATTTGTCTACGTATATGTACATGTATATGTATGTTTATATGCATATGCATATGCATATGTACACGTATAGTCTATGTTTATGATTATGACTATGATTATGCATGTACGTATGCATATTTGTATTACTATATTTGTATATGCTTGTATACCTATGATATGTGCTGTTTTGCCTGATCTCTGGCTCCTGTGATTCACTTGGGCCCAGCACCTCAAAACCCGGGGATCCATGTTGCATAAAACAGGTCTGGGGCCGAGGCAACTTGTGTTAATCCTGGGACTCTGGAGTTCAGCGCGTTGAAGGTCCTTCAGGTCCTGCCACGAGGGAGTGAACAGCAGGGGCGGCGCAAAGCTGAAGCAGATGCGAGAGAAGCAGCATCAGCACAAACGCTGAGACCTCACCGCTTGGGGCTGCGGCCGAAAGGGGCGGAGGGAGGGGCTGGGAAGTGACCCTGGTAATCCGTACCCCCCACCCCCTCCCCGTTCACCCCGTGGCGTCTTCGCCCCTCCATCCCCCGCCCCAATAAAGCGACGGAAGTAAACGGCATCGACTTACAGTGGAGGCCCATGCCAAGAAACACCCTGCTTGCCTCCAGGATGCCCTGGGCTGGGTTTCTTGGGTGTCGATGGTTTTGCGAGGAAAAGCGTGACGCTCCCACACCAAAAAATCACTGGACGTCCTGGGGTCTCAGGGTTGGGTTTCTTGTGGAAGGTTTCTTGTGGACTGGCCTCCACTGTAGCCGACATCCACGCGAGAGCTTCCCGCGCAGAGTCGCGCGTGAGTGCCCTCATTCCCAATGCAGCGTGGCACGCTGGCGGCCTGCGTAAGCCTCCGCGTTCGGTCGCCATGCCATCTCGCGTACGACCCGTTCATCCTTTCGTCGTTCCGTTCCCGGCAGGCCTGTCGGCGCAGCTGTCGGCCCACCCGCTGCTGCAGCACCTGGGCGGCCATCCTGGCCGCGTGCGGGCCGCCAGGAGTGGGGCGCCTCTCTCTGCTCGTGGTGTGTGTGTGTGTGTGTGTGCGCGCGGGGTCCACAGCGATTCATGAGGGTTCGGCCGCATCCCAGCGTTTAGTACGTTTATTGACTCATCCTCGTCGTCGCGCGCGAGGCCGCTTCCGCCACTGTCTGTGTGCGTGTGTGTGCGTGTGTGTGTGCGTGTGTGTGTGTGTGTGTGTGTGTGTGGAGCGGGTCAGGGGGAGAGGACGGGGAGCAGGAAGTTGAAGAAAAACAATTTGCATAAACACAGTGTTCGACGGTCCGCGCGGATTTCTTGGATCGGCGCTGGAGCCCCAAGGAGGGAGGCGGGTCCAGCGCCGGTCCAAGAATTCCGCGTGGACCTCCGAAAGTTCACGTCTGCATCTTCGGGGGATTTTTCTTGTCCTGCAAGTGCCCGTTTTTTCCAGTACTCGACGTGGGCTTGACGTGGGCTCGACGCGGATTCCACGCACATTCGAGTTGGATTCGACACGGGTTCTAGACGGATTCGACGGTTTCGACATGGATTCGACATGGATGCGACACGGATGATGGCGGGATGCGACAGACGAGGTCTCCGATGATGCAGCAGGCTTGAGGAAAGGAGGGTGGACACAAAGGGCAGGGAACAGGACCCATGGGCGAAAGGGATGGCAGGCAAGGGCTGACCCGAACGCACGCATTCAGTCGCAAATCTTGGGAGCGTTGTGTGTCCTCGTGCATCCGCTTCTGGAGTGCACTCGCGTGCGATGCGCACGCGCCGATTTGGCGTCGGATTTAGCGTCGATGTCGGAAACTGGAGCATGTACATTGCCAGCGGCGGGCTGTTTTCCAATCCCAGGTTTCTTGAGGGTCGCGGACAACGCTGGGGTGGTGTGGTGTATACTCTTTTCCCCGATGTCCCGGGGAAACAGCGGAACATGTACACACCAGGGTCCCGTGTACGCCAGGACCCGCTCTCCAGTGCAAATTCTAATGCAGGGCCTGACGACGCGTCGGTGTCTGCGCGTCGTGCCCCGTCGGGCTGCGCGTCTGCGCGGCGTGGCTGCCCCGTGGTGCGCGACCTTGGCAGGCGCCGTCGCCGTGGAGGAGGAGGAGGAGGAGGAGGAGGAGGAGGAGGAGGAGGAGGAGGAGGAGGAGGAGGAGGAGGAGGAGGAGTTCGGTTCTTTACGGGGAGCTCCGCTTTACGCCGATTCGCAAGAGCCGGATGGATGGCAGGGGGAGGCCCTCGTGCGACGCCACGGAGCACGGGGAGCGGAGGACCAGAGGGAAACGGGGGCCAGGAGGGAGGAGCAGGCACAGGCTCGAAGACTCGTCGATCCCCGCGAGAGAGAGTCGGGAAGCCCTGGGAAGTGTGGGATAATCGATGACGATTGATACAGAGAGAGAGAGAGAGAATATAATCAAGTCTTTCGATTATTCGATATTGATACTGATGTTTCTGTGGGAGGGCCACGAGGGCCAGGAGGGAGGAGTAGGCACAGACACAAAGAATCGTCGATCCCCGCGAGAAAAAAGCCGGGAAGCCCTGGGAAGTGTGGGGTGAGATGAGCATCGAGAGAATGTCGAAAACAAGGGCGCCCTTGAGGGCGCGAAGTTATTCGCGCTTGGCGCTTTGCGGTTCGGCTCCGATTCCTCTTCACCCTCCACTTCTCCCCTGGGAGGCGGCGCGAGAGCGCGAAGTTATTCGCACTTCGCGCTTCGCGCTTCGCGCAGCGCGAAGCGCGAAGTTGGGAGCCCTTGCGAAAAGATTGATAATCCTGGGACGTGTGTATTTACTTGGGTATCCCTGGGCTTCAGTGGAGGTGGCGGCAGGGGACCGGCCGAAGCTGCCCGAGCTCGAGGACGGGCCGGGCCACCTCGCGTCGCCGGCGCCGTACGCAGCGCCGAGCCCTGCGGCGGGGAGTCGCGACCGGAGAAATCAAGCAGTGGCGAAGCGTCCTGACCCTTACACGCCGGTCGTTGAAAGTAGGTATTTTTGGATTCCCAGATCCCAATCTACTTCAAGCGCCTTCCTACTTCAAGAATCGACATGCTTTTGCTGTGTTTGGTTATTCTCTGGGAGGACCCGGACCCAATCCACTACATCCGTCTTCCTACTTCATGTTTCTACCTACTTCTTCCAACCGACGTGTATTCATTGTTTTGCCAATCGGCACGGGCCCTCGTACCCCCCCCCCTGGAGTAGATCTTGGCTGTTTTTGGCGCCTGTTTCGAGCAGGTGGAGTCTCCCCCAATGGACGCACTGTTACAAACAGTCGCATTAAGCAGAGGTCCCGAGCCACCCCCCCCCCTCTCCCCCCCTTCCGCCCAATGTCGAAACGCCGAATAAAAAAGCTCACCTGCCGATAGTCGACTATACGTAAGAGTGACCTTTCGCCGGAGTGACCGTTGGTGCGGGTGCATTGGGGTCCGGCGATGCGGCAGTAGTGTCTTGCGCCATTTGGGTTGGCCCCCCGCAGCTCCCCGGAAGCCGCGCACCAAAGGTCACTCTTACCCAGGGTCACTCTTACGCGTAGTCGAGACAGGCCCCCCCGGAGAAAGTTCTGAGAACCTTCCGTGGATGGCACGAGGTGTTTTTGGAGTGTGCTTGGCTGAGACTTGGGGCCGTTTTTGGGTCTGAGGCGGCCCAGCACTGGTGCCTGCCAGCAGGAGTGGCGGGCAGGTTCGGGTTTTTTCGAGGCTGGCAAAGAGGGGCCTGATGACTAAAGGGGGTGGATATCATGGCGGGGGCCATGCTATCTCCCCAGACTTCATGGCGCCTCTTCTCATTTCAATGCATCCCTGGCCCCCCCCTGGGCAGCGCACATGCCGCCGGCCATGATTTGCGCCCCCCCCCTCTTGGAAGCTCCCCTCTTGGCCGCCCCCGACGAGAAGTTGTTTGTTTTATTTTTCGATCTCTAGGGGCCATTTTCGGGCCCCGGGACCGTGAAAAACGCATCCGGGGTAAACAATTGCACCAGAGGGTCCCAGGAGGGGTTTGGGGACCGATCTTGAGCGGATTTGGCTTCATCTACCCTCCTTGCCGATGTCCTCCAACCAGTTCAAGCCCCCAGCCGCCTCCAAGTTCTAAAAACCTTTCGTGGTTTGCACGAGATGTTCTTAGAACATGCTTGCCTGAGACCGTCTTGTTTTGAAGCGTCGGCTCATGCTCTGAGAGCACTGTTGGTTGGCCTATAGGAATGCCGGGACGGTCGGTCCCTGCTCAAAGGAGGAGTGTGGAAGTCCCACCACGGCGCAATTCGATAATATTCATATCGATTGTATCATGTTGCCATGTCCGTATCTCTTATCTTGAATTTTCGTTGTTGTCCATCCAGAGTAGAGCATGATTGATTGGAGTATTCTCGGTAAAATCTCCGATGTATTGATGTGTATGGTTTGAATGGTCGTTGGATCAACATGCTTTAGAGCTCTGTCCTGCGCGAGAAGTTTTCATGTCCACAGTCGTTTGACACATGTTTGATTTGCTTCCTGGTTCTTGCGCCGACGTTGAAGCTCTTGGAGTTCGATGCATGCATGGCTGGCAACTCCCACGAGGCCCTCTTTCGCCGTATCGGGGCCTCGCGACGTTGTTTCGGGGCTGTGCCGGGGCCCTCTTTCTCCTCCGCCTTCGCCTCTTTCTCCTCTCTCTGCTGCCCTCCTGGGCGCGCCCCCCCTCAGCGAGCTTGTGACGCCCGGGCTGCGCTCCATCTTCGAGCTGTGCGCTGGAGGCGCGCGCCCAGCAATCCGGTACTGCATTCTGACGCGCTCCCGCACGCAGTGTTTTGGGGCGTCTGCTCGCGTTCTCGGGCGTCGGGCAGCATCACCTCGCACTCTCTGGACATCGGCGTCACCCGAACATAGTTCTCGGAGGTGGATAGACCTCCTACCCTGACACGTCGATTACGGAATCGGCCGTTTTCGGCTCGCGAGGGGCGTCGCGGCCGTCATTTCTGCGGGTCCAGGTCCGCCGGTTTCGGCCCCAGGCCGTTTTCACTATGGTCCGGCGATGCGGCAGTAGTGTCTTGCGCCATTAGGGGTTGGCCCCCCCGCAGCTCCCCGAAAGCCGCGCACCAAAGGTCACTCTTACCCAGGGTCACTCTTACGCGTAGTCGAGACAGGCCCCCCCCCCGAAGAAAGTTCTGAGAACCCTCCGTGGATGGCGCGAGGTGTTCTTGGAGTTCTGTTGTATGTGTGCGTCGGCCCTCCAGGGCCGGCGCGCACGCGCAGGGATCTTGCAGTATGCGCTCCGTGGCGGGCGCCTTCTGGCCCTGCCCTCCGGGGTAGCGATGCGCTGGAAGACATTGCTATCATCTGTGTGGTCCGGCCGTGCTCAACCATTGGTGGCACGCAGCACTGGCATGCCCTTCTGCGTCCCACCGCGGGCGTCGGGCGGCCTCTCCTCGTCCTCCTCCGGACCTGCTCCGACGAGTGCTCTGGTGTTCCGGTGTTCTGGCCATAGCACCTGGGTAACGTGATCCACCGCCGCTTTGCTGTGGAGATTCCCCCCCCCCCTCTCTTCCTCCAGAACCCGGGGGTACCGAAAATCCCCCCCCCCCCCCCCCTGCTGGAGCCCCCCTCCCATCCCCTGGCAAGAACCCCCCTCCCCCCAACACCCCCCTCCCCCTCGGAAATCTGAGGGGGGTCACTACTGGTTCGAACCCCCCCATTCGCCGCCGGCAAACGATTCCCTGGTCCCACCGCCCTCACCACTGTCCCCACCACCACCGTCCCCACCCTGTCCCACTGTCCCCACTGTCCCCACTGTCCCCACTGTCCCCACTGTCCCCACCAGTGCCCCCACCACTGTCACACTGTCCCCACCACTGTCCCCACCACGGTCCCACTCTCCCCACTGTCCCCACCACTGCCCCACTGCCCCCACCACTGTCCCACTGTCCCCACTGTCCCCGCCTCTGTCCCACTGTGCTGTCCCACTGTCCCCACATGTCTCACCACTGTTCCCACCACTGTCCCCACTGTCCCCACCACTGTCCCCGCTGTGGCACTGCCCACCACCGTCACCACCGCCCTCACCACTGTCTCCACCACAACCCTCCCCACCACTGTCCCACTGTCCCCACTGTCCCCACCTCTGTCCCACTGTCCCAACTGTTCTCCCGACTGTCCCCACTGTTCTCACCACTGTTCCCACTGTCCCCACCAGTGCCCCCATCACTGTCGCACGGTCCCCACTGTCCCCACCACTGTCCCCACAACTGTCCCACTCTCCCCGCTGTCCCCACTGTCCCCATCACTGTGCCACTGTTCCCACCGTTCCCACCGCTGTCCCACTGTGCTGTCCCACTGTCTCCACCATTGTCCCCACTGTCCCCACCACTGTCCCCGCTGTACCACTGTCCCATTGTCCCACCACCGTCCTCACCACCGCCCTCACCACCGTCCCCACCACCACCGTCCCCACCACTGCGCCACCGTCCCCACTGTCCCCACCACTGTCCCACTGTCCCCTCACCACTGTCCCTCCCGCTGTCCCCACTGTCCCCACCACTCTCCCACTGTCCCCACTGTTCCCACCACTCCCCACTGTCCCCACCAGTGCCCCCACCACTCTCCCCACTGTCCCCACTGTCCCCACCACGGTCCCACTCTCCCCACTGTCCCCACCTTTGTCCCACTGTCCCCACTCCCCACCACCATCCCCACCACCGTCCTAACCACTGTCCCCGCCACAGTCCCCCATCTGGAATGGGGGAGGGGGGGGAGTCGTCTGCCGGCGGCGTGGAGGGGGGGGCTCGAACCGGTAGTGACCCCCCGCCTTTTCATGATGGACCGGGTGGGGTGGGGGGGGGGGCGTGGCGGGTTTGGATCCCCCAGTGACCCCCCCCGCTGGTTTTCGAGGAGGGAGGGGGGACTGGCTTGAAACCTCCACTGGCCCTCCACGGTTCTCTGCCAGCAGCGGCAGAACACGCCCTTTCAGATATTCGCATCACCTGTGTGGTCCGGCCGTGCGCATCCAAGGGGAGCACGTACGTAGCCTTGGCATGTCCTTCTGCGTCCCACCTCGGGCGTGGGGCGGCCTCTTCTCGTCCTCCTCCGGACATGCTCCGACGAGCGCTCTGTCGGGGGTGGACAGAACCCCCAACAGAGACACGTCGATTAGTGAATTGTCCGTTTTCGGTGTTCGAGAGGGCGCCGTGGCCGTTGTTTCCCAGGCTTGCGCCCGCCAGGTTTGGGCCCGAAGTCGTTTTCACTAAACCACGTTTTACTAAAGGGAGGTCTGTCCATCCCCGATTCTGGTGCTATCGACCGTCTCTGCAAAGGGTGGGCCTTGGGGATCCAGGGCTCTTCATGTCGTCGCCAGCGGCCCGACGTTCAAGCTTCAGAGGAGGAACAGGTACCGATGCCGCTACCCTTCGCCCGTTTTCCCCTTTATCGGCCTCCTCGGAGTCTCTCGTTGTCACCGGTGGATTCCCCTCGAAATCCTGGTCAGAGCGCACTCCGGGAGAGGTCCGGGGAGTGGCGGTACAGTCGGGGCCCTGAACAAGGAACCCTTGTCGTTGGGGAGGGGCTCCGTGTTCCTCGATTGTTTCGCAGCTTGCCTCGGGGTTTCCTGATGTTTTCGATGGGACATCGAAGCTCCACTGATGGAAAATGGGGGCCGCGTTCCTTATTCAGGGTTCCTTAGGTCAATCGGTGGTGGACAGAACCCCCAACAGTGACACGTCGATTAGTGAATTGTCCGTTTTCGGTTCTCGAGAGGGCGCCGTGGCCGTTATTTTCCAGGCTTGCGCCCGCCAGGTTTGGGCCCGAAGTCGTTTTCACTAAACCACGTTTTACTAAAGGGGGGTCTGTCCATCCCCGAGTCAACGCCCCGACTGTATCGGTCCCTATTGGTTTCCCCGAAGCTGCCGTCCAGGCGCTAAGAGGCGGCGTAGTCCCGCTCCCGGCGGAAGAGTTGCCGTGCCGCGCCCGCGTGCCGTGCCTGGTCTCGAGGGTTCGAGGCAGCTGCCATGGCTCGGGGCGGGCGAAAGGGGGGGATTGGGAAAGGGGGGGTTACGAAATCTGCTGCATGCAGCTGGTTTCGGCCCCGCCGAGGGGCCCGTTCCTCGACACATAGCCGCCTCCGGCGCCGGGAGGCGCCGGGAAAATCGGCTACGTGAGCTGATTCTCAACCCCCCCCTTTGCTATCCCCCCCTTTCGCCCGACCCGAGTGCCGTGCCTGGTCTCGAGAGTTCGAGGCAGCTGCCATGGCATGCCGTGCCCCGTCGGGCTTCCCAGGTGCGAAGATGACGGCGTGCCGTGCTTGGCCTCACGTCGGGCCCGTCCCTCTACAGGGGGAATACTCAGACATAGTAAAAAAATAGTCTGGGGACGATTTGTCGATTATTTGTGGACCATTTTGGGGTACTTTTGATGCATTTTTAATTTTTCGGTCAAAATTTTCCCCTGTAGAGGGACACGCCCGACTTAAGCTTGGCTTCGAACAAGCGGAAGAGTATGGTGGCGTGCTGTGCCCAGTTTTCAGATTGCGAGCACGTTGCCGTGCCGTGCCGTGTCGTGCTGACCATGTGCCCTTATCATGCAACGTTAGTATATAGTCTGCTTGCGCCGGTTAATTTCGAGTGTTGCAGTACAGCGATCAGTGCACGGGTAATGAAGCGGGTAGTGAAGTTCGAATACAATTGATGTAATTCGTAAGTGGTGAGTTTTGCGGCTTGATTCCACGAACTTGCGTTCCGATTGGCGCTGTCTGTTTATCTGTCCGTATTCTCGTTACCATTTTCCAGAACCTTTCGACGCTTGATTAACCGCCGCAGGCTTTGCAATACGTGGGAGGATCTCATAAACTTTTCCGCCTCCCTCTCTCCCGCGTCATTCCCCCTTCGCCCCTCTCCCCGTCCACCTTGCCGCCTCCTACCTGGTCGCGCATTCCTCTACCGTCCTCCTTCCCCCTCCCCCTCCTCCCTCCCTCCCTCTCAGCTGTTTCCCCTCCCCTCCCACATGACCCTCTTCTCCTTCTCTCCCCTCCCTCCCTCCCCGTAGGATGTTAGACATGGCGCGAGCTCCTAGCTTCGCCCTCTTCCTCTCTCCCCTCCCCCATCCCCGCACGCACCTTGCCCAGCAACGGTTCCGGGGCCGGCTGGGAAGATGCCAGTCCCGCTGTCCAGGTACGCTCTGCCCCGCACGGCGCCCATGGGCGTCCTTGAATGCAGCATGGCACGCACTCGCCCAGCCCGAGTTCCCTTCGCCCTCCCCACCCGCTCCCCTCTCGCCTCTCCCGCTCCCCCCCCTCGGCAGTCGAGAGGGTCCCCAACCCCGTCACAGGGGGCCCCCCTGGGCATCGGGGCCGTGGTCCCGGGTCCTGCCTCTGGCGCTGCCCGGGCCAGGTCTCTTTGCCGCCTGGCTCGGTGGCACCCCTTTCCCGCCGCCCGCCTGGCCCCCTCCCCAGAGATCCGATGCTTTGATTTTCCCCATGCGGGGTCCCTGAAGTGTCGAGCCACTCCCAGGGACCGGCTCTTCATCCTGAGTCCTCTCATGACACATTCCCCAGGGCCGGCCGACGGCTTTTAAAGGGCCGAAAGCGATGCAAAACCAGCCTTTACCCTGGATCTCTGGGTCCCGCTTCCTTGTCGCAGTTGACGGTGACGGGCTGCCACTGGCCTGGACACCCTCGGCCGAAGGCCAGTCAGAGACCAGCGGTGGGCCAGCAGAGAAGCAGTGGTGGGCCAGTCAGAGACCGGCCAAGAATCGCATGGGTCCCGCTCCCTCGGGGGTGGACAGAACCCCCAACAGTGACACGTCGATTAGTGAATTGTCCGTTTTCGGTTTTCGAGAGGGCGCCGTGGCCGTTATTTTCCAGGCTTGCGCCCGCCAGGTTTGGGCCTCAGGTCGTTTTCACTAAACCACGTTTTGCTAAAGGGGGGTCTGTCCATCCCCGACTCCCCCATCTCCCATCCCCCTCCGCCGCACCCGCAGAGGCGGCGCTGGGGACGCCGCCGGGGGCGCTGCCGGCACGCCGGGGCTCGCGCGGGCGATGTCGGTGGACGAGGCGCGCCCGTCGCCCATGGGTCGGCCGGGCGGGGTCAGCTCTTGCGGAGGTTGAGCAGGAGGAAAAGGAGGAGCGGGGAGGAGGAGGGGGAGGAGGATGAGGGGAAGGAGGAGCAGGAATAGGAGGAGGAGGGGGAGGAGGAGGAGGGGAAGGAGGAGCAGGAATAGGAGGAGGAGGAGGAGCAGGAATAGGAGGAGGAGGAGGAGCAGGAGGAGGAGGAGGAGGAGGAGGAGGGGAGGGAGGGAGGGAGCGAGGGAGGAGAGGGAGGAGGGAGGAGGCATGAGGAAGACAGAGAGGTTCGAGGATGGATGAGGGCCAGCAGGCAGGCTTCTTTTTCCCGGCAGGCGAGGCGGCTGGTGGTCGTTTCAACGTTTTTGTCGCTTTCGGCGTGGGTCAAGGCGGCAGGGAGGAGGAGTTATTCCTCAGTGTTCCCGCCTCCTCCCTTTCCCCGCGATGACATCACACATATCAAAGATGCATACATGATCCCGGGCTCCGGGCCCACGGCCCCACCCCCCCCCAGATGGCATGGTCCCAGGATTCCTCGGGCCCCCCCCCCCAGATGGGATGGTGGGGGACGACGACGACGACGACGACGACGACGACGACGACGACGACGACGACGACGACGACGACGACGACGACGACGAGGACGGCGGCGGCGGCGGCGACGACGAAGACGCCCGCTTCGGCTCCCTGAAGCACTGCAGCACCACGGCACAACCAGAGGGAGGCGACGATGGGGAAGACGCTCTTGGCGACGATGCTCCTCCTCCTCCACGCAAGACACCGACGACGACGATTACAGATTGGCACCTCCCCTCCGTCAAGTGTAGCAGTTTTACGTCATGCCTGGGACGGCGATGCCGATGCCGATGCCGATGCCGATGCTGACGCTGTCGTCGTCGTCGCCGCCGCCGCCGCCGCCGCCGTCGTCGTCGTCGTCGTCGTCGTCGTCGTCGTCGTCGTCGTCGTCGTCGTCGTCGTCGTTGTCGTCCACAGGGGGGCCACCACCCCCACAGGGGGAGGGCCACCACGCCACGCCCACAGGGGGGGGGGCATCGCGCGGGGGGGGGGGGGGCGATGGCATTAGCGTTGGGGGGGGGGCCCAAGCCCTGGACCATACATCATCGCTACAGGCAGGCGAAAGTCCTGCTCCACCAATGAGTAAACTTACTGAGAAGTATCGAACTACTGCGCCGTTGAAATTCTGTTGCTGCAGCCCAACAAAACTTGATCCTCCCTCAGTGCACGTTGCATGTTTTAATCGAGGTGTCCTTCCAGGGGCTCGCACCCCGTTGTTTGCAGGGCCTCGGGTTGGGTTGTTGGCTTCCAGTTTATTGCAAGAGCGGCTCCCGCCCAGCTCTCCCTCACGATTTATTGCAACTTCGTATTTTCGCTGAACATTCCCGTGCAAGGTATGGAGGAATCGCGCTCTCGCCTGGGAACTTCTGACAATGTTAGCCAGCGTTGACCCCAAGCTGCTGTGTTTCTAGTGTACGATTTTTTGTGCAACCAGTGTGGAGTAGCATTTGTGGTGCAATCTATGTGGTGCAATTAATTTCTAACCGTCTTGGAGCTGTCCTCTCCACTGCTCGTGCAAACATCCCACCCTCCCACCCGCAACTTGGTCGCAAGACCTCTTAAGACAAGACCGTGACGGTAGGTACCAGATGACACTTGGCCACGACACCGACGGCGACGACGACAGCGACAACGACGACGACGGCGCCGCCGACACCGACGACGACGACACCGACGACGTCTCCAACGACTTCGACGACGACAGCAACCACGACGACGACGACGACACCGACGACGACGACGCCGACGACGACGACGATGAGAACGACGACGACGACGCCGACGACGACGACGCCGACGACGACGACGAAGACAACGACGATGACGACAACGACGTCGCCAACGAAGACGACGACGAGGGAGGAGGGAGGACGACGACGGCGACAACGACGACAACGACGACAACGACGAGGGAGGAGGGAGGACGGCGACGACAAGAACGACGAAGAAGGAGGAAGGACGGCGACGCCGACGACAACGACGAGGGAGGGAGGAAGACGCCGACGACGCAAGAGCGCGCGCGCACGCTTTTGTTGGAAATCCGTGTTGTGAAACCTTGGGTTTTGGTAGGTTTTTTTGACACAAGATTTTGACATCCTTCCGAAACCGATGGATTTTGAAGGTTTTCGGCATACGCGCGCGATGACGCGCGCGTCTGCACTTCGTCCCGTTTTTTGCTGAGGATTCTCGCGATGGCACACGCGCAAGGGCGTTCGACAGATTTCGACATGCGCGCGCGCGAAGCCCGTTTAATAGCATTTTGTGAAAATCTAGAAGAAAACCGATGGTTTTCTTTAGATTTCGCAAGAGCTTGCGCGGAAGCTTTTTAGCAAATCAGTGTTGCGAAGCCATGTGTTGTTGTATGTTTTTTGGAAACTCGATTGCGGAATCCTTCCGGCACCGAAGGTTTTTGAAGGATCTCGGCATGCGCGCGCGACGACGCGCGCGTGTGCAAGTCGTCCCATTTTGCAAGGGCTTCGTGAACAAGTGTGATGCTAGAACAACAAGTATCACCGCATAGCTTTTTTTGTTTTTTTGTTTGTTTGTTTTTTTTGTATCATATATACATTATATATACATACATATATATATATATATATATATATATATCAAACAAGGGAACCTCAGAGGGGGGGGACCGGCCAGCCTGGGATAGTGTAAGTTAATATTTAGGATGGACATGTGGTCATAATCATATGTGATTTACATACCCGAAAGGGGTACCGATAACGCCCGGGGGGGGTAGATCCTATTCTGTTTTTCCACCCTGCTGAACCTGAAGTCGTCATCTGCACTGCTCGCGCAAACATCCCACCCACTCACCCGCAACTTGGTTTGCAAAACCTCTCAGACCGACTACGACGACACCGACGACAACGACTACGACGACACCGACGACGTCTCCGACGACTTCGACAACGACGCCGACGACGAAGACGACGACGACAACGCCAACGAAGGCGACGACGAGGGAGGAGGAAGGACGACGACGGCGACAACGACGACAACGACGACAACGACGAGGGAGGAGGGAGAACGGCGACGACGCGAACGACGAAGAAGGAGGGAGGACGGCGACGCCGACGACGACAACGACGAGGGAGGAGGGAACACGACGACGACAACGACGACGACGACGGCGACGAAATAGGAGGGACGACGACGAGACGCCGACGACGGACGACGACGACGAGGGAGGAGGAGGAAGGACGACCGCGGCGACAACGACGACGGAAACGACCACGACGCCAAAGAGGACGACGACGACTAACACGAGGAAAGACAGAGGACGACGTAGGCGACGACGACGACGACGCGGGAGGAGGGAGGACGGCGACGACGACGACGACGACGACGACGCAAGAGCGCGCGCGCGCGCGCTTTTGTTGAAAATCCGTGTTGCGAAACCTTGGGTTGTTGTAGGTTTTTTGGACACGATTTTGACATCCGTCCGAAACCGATGGATTTTGAAGGTTTTCGGCATACGCCCGCGACGACGTGCGTGTCTGCCTTTCGTCCCATTTGTTGCAGAGGATTCTCGCGATGGCACACGCGCACGGGCGTTCGACAGATTTCGACATGCGCGCGCGCGAAGCCCTTTTAATAACATTGTGTGAAAATCTAGAAGAAACCGATGGTTTTCTTAAGATTTCGCAAAAACTCGCTCGTAAGCTTTTTTAGCACATCAGAGTTGCGAAGCCATTTGTTTTTATATGTTTTTTGGCAACTCGATTTCGAAATCCTTCGGCACCGAAGGTTTTTGAAGGATGTCGGCATGCGCGCGCGACGACGCGCGCGTGTGCACTTCGTCCCATTTGTTGCAAGGGATTTGTGAAACAATGTCATGTTAGGACAACAAATGTCACCGCATGGTTTCTCAACAAGGGAACCTCAGGGGGGGGGGATACCGGTCCCCCTGGGATAGCGTAAATTCATATTTCGGATGGACATGTGGTCATAATCATATGTGATCTACATACCCGAAAGGGGTACCGATAACGCCGGGGGGGTAGATCCTATCCTGTTTTTAGAATGGAGAATCGACAGGAGGATTGACTTTTACCCATGATGTGACACATCTCATGCTCTTGCAAACATCCACCCGCCCACCCGCAACTTGGTTTGCAAAACCTCTTCAGACCATGACGGTAGGTTCCACATGGCACTTGGCAACGACACAGGCGCCGACGACGACGACGACGACAACGCCGACGGCGACTACGACGACACCGACGACGTCTCCGACGACTTCGGCGACGACGACAACGACGACAACGACGACGACGACACCGACGACGACGACGACGCCGACGCCGACGACGACGACAACGACGACGGTGACGACGCCGACGACGACGACGACGACGCCGACGATGACGACGTCGACCGACGCCGACGACGACGACGACGTCGCCAACGAAGACGACGACGAGCGAGGAGGGAGCACGACGACGACGACAACGTCGACAACGATGAGGGAGGAGGGAGAACGGCGACGACGCGAACGACGAAGAAGGAGGGAGGACGGGGACGCCGACGACGACAACGACGAGGGAGGAGGGAAGACGACGACGACAACAACGACGACGACAACGACGGCGACGAAATAGGAGGGACGACGACGAGACGCCGACGACGGACGACGACGACGACGAGGGAGGAGGAGGAAGGACGACCACGGCGACAACGACGACGGAAACGACCACGACGCCAAAGAGGACGACGACGACGAAGACGAGGAAAGACAGAGGGCGACGTAGGCGACGACGACGACGACGCGGGAGGAGGGAGGACGGCGAAGACGACGACGACGACACAAGAGCGCGCGCGCACGTTTTTGTTGAAAATCCGTGTTGCGAAACCGTTTGTTTTTGTAGGTTTTTTGGACACACGATGTTGAAATCCTTCCGAAGCCG